CTGGAAAAGAGTATGGCAGAAACTAGGCATAGACCCAAATCTCACACCATATACCAAAATAAAGTCAAAATGGGTTCAGGACTTAGATATAAAGGCTGATACCATAAGTAAACTGGGAGAACAAGGAATAGTTTACCTATCAGATCTATGGAGAACAGAAGAATTCATGACCAAACAGGAGATAGAGAACATTATGAAAAGCAAAATGGATAATTTTGATTACATTAAATTGAAAAGTTTTTGCACAAACAAAGCCAATGCAACTAAGATTAGAAGGAAGGTAGAAAATTGGGAAAGAATTTTTACAACCAGTCTTCTGATAAAGGCCTCATTTCTAAAATATGTAGAGAATTAAGACAAATTCATAAGAACACAAGCCATTCCCCAATTGATAAATGGTCAAAGGATATGAACAGACAGTTCTCAGATGAAGAAATTAAAGCCATCTATAGTCATATGAAAAAATGCTCTAAATCGTTATTGATTAGAGAAATGCAAATCAAAACAACTCTGAGGTACCACATCACACCTATCAGATTGGCCAACATGACAAAATGATAAATGTTGGAGAGGATGTGGGAAAATTGGAACACTAATACATTGTTGGTGGAGTTGTGAAATGATCCAACCATTTTGGAGAACAATTTGGAACTATGCCCAAAGGGCTACAAAAATGTGCATACCCTTTGATCCAGCAATAGCACTTCTAGGGCTATATCCCAAAGAGATCAAACAAATGGGAAAAGGACCCACATGTACAAAAATATTCATAGCAGCTCTTTTTGTGGTGGCAAAGAATTGGAAATTGAGAGGATGCCCATCAATTGGGGAATGGCTGAGCAAGTTGTGGTACATGAATGTAATGGAATACTATTGTGCTATAAGAAATGATGAACAGGCTGACTTCAGAAAAACCTGGAAAGACTTATATGGTCTGATGCTGAGTGAAGTGAGCAGTACCAAGAGGACTTTGTACACAATAGCAGCCACGTTATGCAATGACTAAGAATGTTAAACTGAACCCTTCTCAGCATTGAGGATCTAAGACATCTCCAGAGGATGGAAAAGGCTGTCCACATCCAAAGGAAGAACTATGGAAGTTGAATTGCTGTCACTTATTTTTACCCTCTGTTGAGTTTTGTTTCATCTTTCTGATGGTTCCTCCTATTGGTTTTAATTTTTACTTACAACTTCACTAATGTGAAAATAGGTTTAATGGGTATGTAAATGTAAAGCCTATGTCAGATTGTGTGCCATCTTGGGGAGGGTTGGGGGGAGAAAAAGGGAGAAAAATTTTCAACTCAAAAGCATATGGAAAAAAAATAAAAATTTTTTTAAAAATGAAGTAAAAGCTCATAGGATTTTATTTTGAGTTGTTTGATGGGTCATAATCCATTGATAATCAATAATCCACCATCTTGAGAGAAATGCCACTAGTTACTCAGAGAAAGTGATACTGGTGGGGAAGTCAGCATTGGGGAAAGCTGAGAGGACAATTTTAGCCTCAGTCTAAGATGGCATCCTCCTGGCTCAGTTTCCCCATTATGTTCCTTTGAAAGGGAATGTTAGTTACCTGGCTATTGGAAGTCTGGCTATGAGGTGGATTTGATACATCATGGTTGGAAAACTGAATTATCTGAATCCAAACAGGGCTGAGGATGTTTTATCCTCTCAAAGTTGGGCCTTAAATCTAGTCCTTGCTTTATCTGGGCCTCTGTAGTTTTTTTCAAGACTATGGGCCATTCACCTACAGTTGGTAGCAAAAAGCGAGTACCAGCCAATGTCCCCACATTGTTCCCTGGATGCAGCCTGTGCTCGGTTCCAGTCAACCTGTTTGGGACCCCCTCAAGGTAGGGACAGCTCTATGCCCCTTGCAAGCAGGAAGCAGTTTCAGAAGTCAAGACCTCTTCCCATTACTCCAAAAGAATTTGGGTCCCATTTGTTTGAGGAGGGAATGATGGGGTTGGGATCTGGGACCCAGAAAGGAAAAACCCTGGACTTGCTCAGGAGGCCAAATCTCTGGCATTTGCCTGAGGCTATAAGCCCATTAACTGACCTTTCATTCAATCTCCCCTTCATTGTCTTACCTCCCTATGGCCCCTAGCCATTTCCCACCCTTAATCCTAGATAGGCTCCATTCTCTCTTGGCTGTGTGGTCCAGGTCCCAGAAGTTCTGTTCACCCCAGCTTACTGGACACTCCTAGGTCCCTCCCACAGTCTTTCTGTATATAAGATCCAGCTTGTCTCCATTAAGATGCTCAGATTCTGAAAGTCTAGCCAGGGCTCAGATTCTTATAATCTAGCCACTGCTTGGATTCTTAGAATCTAGCCACTGCTTACCCATGTTCAGACTCCTTAAGAGTCTGCCCAATATGACAATGTTCTAATAAACCTTTCTTTGGCTGAAAAAAAAAAAAGAAATATCAGCTGAGTCAGAAAGAACTTTGGAAGCTAAGTTCTTGGGGTTCCCCAACATCAGCAGCCTGGAAAAAAAGATACAGCATGTTTTCTGGTTAATGTCCACCTGGTGGCACTATAGCCCTGCGTTTAACATTAGTTACATGGTTAGTACTCAGAAGCCAAGCTCAACATGCAGAATGTGCAAGAGAAACCGTCCAGGCAAACACAACTATACGTAGCCAGAAATTTGGTGGCATGAAAATGTCACATTCATGGAACAGGGACCCCAACCATAGTGGGGCACATGCTCTGATCTAAACTTCACCGAGTCCAATCCAATCCAATAAGCAAGGATTTCAAGCCAATGACTAACACATTTTTGCAGCAGCCTTAATCCACCCAACCCCTGGAGGGCAGAACTGTTCTGCCGCCAGTCACTGAGTTTGCTCCACGCTGGAGTGTAACATGTGCCTTAGATTCAAAGACCTTCAAATTAACCTGAGAGGAGGGTTAGATTCTAAATGAAACAAATAATTCCAATACTGGGGCTGGGGGAAGGGGGGTGTGGGAAATGGATGGGAACAGACCTCACCAACCAGGAAGCCAAGGATCCTAGCTCTGTCCCCTTTAAACAATGAATGAGGTCCACGTCTCATTAAAAGCCCAAGCCAGAGATTTAAATTCAAAGCACTTGTCAATTACAGACTGAGAGCATCAAGAGTATGTTAGTATGGGCAGCTAGGTGGCACAGTGTATAGAGAGCCAGGCCTAGAGTCAGGAAGACTCATCTTCCTGAGTTCAAATCTGGCCTCAGATACCTACTAGCTGTGTGACCCTGGGCAAGTCACTTCACTCTGTTTCTCTCCGTTTCCTCATCTATAAAATAAGATGGAGAAAGAAATGGTAAACCACTCCAGTATCTTTGCCAAGAAAACCTCAAATGGTGTCACAAAGAGTTGGACAGGACTGAACAACATATTAGCTAAGATGGGATTTTAGAGGGTATCTATCCTCTAATAATAAGAGAATCAATAGGGAGACACTGTACAAAGTAATCTCATAGTAATTAAAATAAAACTCAGCCACCGAGATCAGAACTTCCAATCTCATAAGCAATGTTCAATCTAGAAAGAATTTTATAAAAAGAATTGTTGGTATTATTACATAACAAAATAATGAATTCAACTTCCTTCTGGCCACTGAATCTGGAGTCAGGAAGACCTGAGTTCAAATCCAACCTCAGACATTTACTAGCTACGTGACCCTGGCAAGTCACTTAACCTCTATTTGCCTTAGTTTTCTCAACCATAAAATGAGGATAATAATCATAGCTACTTCTCAGGGTTGTAAAAATCAAATGAAACAATATCTGTAAAGTGCTTAGTCCAGTGCCTGGGATATAGTAGTCTCTTAAAATATGCCAACAAGCATATGTTAACAAGCCTTTCTTCTTTCCTGTCGGCTCCAGTACATTTCTCAGCCAAGTCACAGCTAGAATTGAAAGGGATTTCAGAGACTATTTGCCCAAAGTCATGGCTAAATAGAAGCCAAAACAAAGCATGACCTGAATTTAGTATTTATTTTGTATTTCCTTAATATCTATGTATATGTTGTCATTTTCTTACCCTTTCCCTTCCCAGTAGAATGGAAGTTTCTTGTGGGCAGGGACAATTTTTTTGGGGGGGAGGGGGAAGGTGGCGAGGCAACCACGGTGCCTGGCACACAGCAGACATTTAAATAATGTTTGTTCAACTGGACTGAATGATTGTGAAAGCTTGAAAAGGGATGTGGGGATGATCAGCTTCATTCAGGATCTATTCCTTCACTGTAAACATGCAAGGGACAAATTAGAACGATCAAAGCATCGCCCTCTACATATATACTACACATTCCAGAAGAAACACTGTAGACCACCAAACAACAGCTGTTCCTCCAACCAGAAAGCAGATTTCTATCTACCACAGCAGAGCCAGTGAGATCAGAAATTCAAATCTTATAAGCAATGTTCAATATAGAAAAAAACAGCGAGTGAGCTTTCCTAGAGAATTCTTACAGTGAGATAACTTAGCAACCCTCAGGCTCCCAGGCTTTGGTGGGGCATGGGGGAATTATTCCTGGACAACGGTAAAACTGAAGCCACCACAAATATCATTTATGTAGGGGTTAGCCTTGAAGGAACCACATGCATAGCAGCAGACGGGTTATTGGTTCTGTGTTACTTTGTTTTGGGGGGAAGGGGAATTTCTAACCACATATACTTCAGGGGAAAGTCATTCAGGAACCAATCAATCAACAAGTGTCTATTATGTGCCAGGCACTGCACTGGGCCTTGGAAATGAAAGGACAAAAATGAAAATCTTGCCCATTCATCCTCCTACAAAGAATTCCTCTTCATTTAGCCATCAGCAATGGGTCATACACCCCATAGTGAAATAACGTGACAGATTTGCTCAGATGTTGCTAATTTCCAATCACCTTTTAAGTACCCATTATCATCCTACTATATACTTAAATTTCATCTGCCATGAGCTATATGTCATAACTCTCATCTCACTGACTTTCATTTTTCTTTTCATGTCAGAAAGCTAGCCAATACTTACTTAATCCAACGTCCCCTTCTTGATCCAGTTCATTCGGGGTTCGGGGATGGCAGAGGCAACGGAATAGAAGGCTGATATGGCTCAATAAGATGAAAGGCGGAGGTAGCCATGGTTTCTCATGATAAGTCATGATGTAGCGGTAGCGATTATATTTCCACAGTTTATCTGAAATGGTCTTCATCTGATAGTAAACATTGCTGTGAAAGGAAGCAAGAGACAATTTTGACATAATTCAAGCTAATTATCCATTTTCTGACATTTTTATGGGAGATCTGATTGATTATATCCTAAAAACATCGTGCTAGTGAAACATATGTCCAATGACCTTATATGTTCTCCTTCCTGCCAGTCAACCCTGAGAGCACACTAATATGGAAGACGTGTAAAGGACAGAAATTACACACAAAGAGGAACTATTTTAACCCTTTGGAATCCTGAACAAAAACTACTCTCTAGTTCTCACAATGCATCAATTTCACTTAAGGAAAACTCAGCTGATTGAAATTAGTTTGGGGGAAGGGAGGAAGGTGGAGAGGAAAGTATACACCAGGGATTTGCTAAGTCATTTACACAATCTTCAATATAGGAGCTACACTTACCTAGTAACTCTTGCGTGATTTAATTCAAACTCCAATGATCACTACTAATTTTATTATTTTAATGCAGTTAATTTAATGATATGAACTGCCCCAGGATAAAAAATATTTCTTATGGGTAATAGTACAGAGGAACTTTCAGTGAAATTGTCAGATGAGAGAGCTTCTTGTATAAAGGAAAATGGGAAAGAGCTTTGAGCTTCAGTTTTCTCATCTAGACAATGAAGCAGTTGAACTAGATGCTTCATTTAGCATCCATTCAACAAACATGCATCGAGCCCCTATCACGTCTAATGCCCTAGCCCCTGCTCCAGGAGTTTACAATTCCGGTGACCTCTGAGGTGCTTTCTGACTCCAAAGTTTTATAACATTTAAGCTTCCTAAGTTAGATATTTAACTTAATGGGACTTGAAGTCTGAACCCCCTCACCTAGCACTTCATTATAAATTATTACTTGGTCCACCACTTGTTTCATGAATGCTAATCCTGTCTATTCAACAAAAGTCTGTTTCTCAAAGGCAGGAGGCATAATTCATATATCTTTTGTAGCCCTCTCTCTACCACTCCTGCCTGGACCCAACTTCACAGATTCCCAAGCATGTGTTTTTAGCACAGTTCTAGGCACTGTGTCCTACTTGCCTTAATATCCCCAGAACTTAGCACAGTACCTTATACATAGCTGGTATTTAGTGAATGTTTTGTTGTTGTTGTTGAAAGGCAAAGGTACTCAATAAGCAGAAGCATGGGATCTTCAGACCAGAAGGCCATCTAGTCCAAAATTCTACCAAATGTAGAAATCTTCTCTACAATATCCAAGACACAACCTCTGATCCAAGATGAAGGACTCACTCAGTACTTTACAAGACATCCCATTCTATTTCTGGAGATCTCTCTTCCATATACTAAGCTTAAATCTACCTTCCTATAACTTCCAGTCATTTCTTCTGTCACCCAAATCCACAGGGTAATAATGATAATACATTAATAATAGCTAACATTCATATGGTGTTTACTATGTGCCATACATTGTGCTATGTGCTTTACAATTATTATCTCATTTGATCCTCAGAAAAACCCTTGGAGGGAGGTGCTATTATTATCCCCATTTTACAGATAGGGAAAACAAGGCAAATAGAAATTAAATGACTTGTCCAGGGTCTCATAGTTCGCAATTATCTGAGGAGAGAGTTGAGTTCAGGTCTTCCTGACTCCAGGCCCGATGCTCTATCCACTTTTGAGTATTGACTCTTCTTATATGACAGCCTTTCCAATATTTGAAGATAGCAATCATAACCCCTACACATGTTTTTAACCAGCTAGATATTCCCTAAAACTTACACAAATTATGCTACTTAGATATATCTTTATCTACTGCTTGACAGACTATTTGATGAAAAGGTGAATACATCTAGAATGCTTATTTTAGGCTCCTTGCCACGGATGAGATGTATTTGTCAACCTTCATATGATAGATTTTTATGAGGAAAAAACAATCAGTCTCATTATTGTGATCACAGTTTTAGCAATAATACCATTTTCAGTGAAGGAATCAAAGTAAAAATTCATTGTCTCCCCTACACTGTGAATATTGAGAATTATCTTTATATATACATATTATATATGTATTATGAATTTTTTTAATATCTGCTATAGGTAATCGCAGAAAAATTTCAGGATCTTTTGGTTCTTAGAGTCAACAAAACAACAGGAAAGAAAAATCACAAGATCAGTGTAAAAATTGCTCAGAGGTCAATAGTTCAACCTATAACTGAACAATCTATGGTAATCTATGGTAAATACCCCAAAATGGTCATTCAGTCTTTGCTTGAAGAGTTCCAGTGTGGGAGAACCCTGAGGTACCCCATTCCACTTTTTGACAGCTCTAATTAAGAAAAACCTTTGCAGTAAAGGATTGTTTCTGCTCAAAAGACACTGAATTGGCCACCTGCATTTGAGGAGGTCCCAGGGCACAATTCATAATAAATAGATTTGATCAGCTGTTAGAAGCAACAGGTATCATTTATCTAGTTAGGCAAGTACAGATTTTCTACATTGCCCATCCCTAACAAATTCCTGAAGCATTAAACTATGGAAATAACACACCAAATTACCTCCATACCATCATTTACCAACATATTATATTTCTTTCTTATATCACACCAATTCCTTCTCTCAAATCCATATTCCTCACTTAAGATTTCACATCCTCTGCTTATTCCTAGTTGAACCCTTATCTCCAATAAGCTGAAACCAATATTTCTTTTTTAAAGTGAAAATTTTTATTTTATTTTTTCTAATTACATGCAATAACAATTTTTAACATTCTTTTTCTTAATTTTGAATTCCAAATTCTCCCCCTTCCTCCCCTCCTACCTCCTTGAGAAGGCAAACAATTTTACATAGATTATACAAGTGCAGTCATGCAAAACATATTTCCATGAGAGCTATGTTGCAAAAGAAAACACTGGTCAACAAAAAAAAAAACAGAAAAATGAAAAATTTTTAAAGTATGCTACGATCTGCATTCATACTTCATTAGTTCTTTCTCTGGAGGGTGATATTTTATATCATAAGTCTTTCAGAATTGTCTTGGATCACTATATTGCTAAGAATAGCTAAGTCATTCACATTTGAGCATCTTACAATATTACTGTTACTCTGTACAAAGTTTTCCTGGTTCTGATCACTTCACCTTGTCTTGGTTAATATAAGTCTTCCCAAGTTTTTCTGAAACCATTCTGCTCCTCATTTCTTATAGCGCAATAATAGTCCATCATAATCATACACCACAACTTGTTTAGCTATTCCCCAATTGATGTACATCCCCTCAATTTCCAATTCTTTGCCACCACAAAAAAGAGCTGCCATATATTTTGAACACATAGCTCCTTTTCCTTTTTTTTTCTAAATCTCTTACAGACCTTGTAGTGGTATTGCTGAGTGAAAGGGTATACACAGTGTTTTAGCTTTTTGGACATAGTTCCAAATTGCTCTCCAGAATGGCTGGATCAGTTCACAACTTCACCAACAGTGCATGAATGTGCTGATTTTTCCACACCCTCTCCAACATGTGTCATTCTCCTTTTCTGTGGTGATTTCTCATTTGCTTCACTTTGTATTTCTCTAATCAATAGTGATTGAGAGCATGTTTTCATATGACTACAGATAGCTTTCATTTCTTCTTCTGAAAACTGTTCATATCCTTTGACTATTTATCAATTGAGGAATGACTCATAGTCTTATAAATTTGACTCAGTTCTCTATATATTTGAGAAATGCATCCTTTACCATAGAAACTTTCTGTTAAAAAAAAAATCCCACTTTGCTGCTTTCCTTCAAATCTTGACTGTACTGGTTATGTTTCTGCAAAAACTTTTTAATTTAATGCAACCAAAATTATCCATTTCCCATCCCATAATGCTCTCCATCTCCTATTTAATCATAAACTCTTCCCTTCTGCATAGATCTGACAAGTAAAATTTTCCACGCTCCCCCATACCACTTTTTATGTCTAAATCATGTGAGTCCTTGTCCCAAAAGTTTGGATCTTTGGGTTTGTCACACACTAGATTATTATGGCTTTTTATTATTGTGCATTGTATACCTAATCTATTCCACCGATCCATCTACTCTATTTCTTAGTCAGTACCAGATTATTTTGATGATTACCATTTTATAATACAATTTGAAATCTGGTACTGCTAGGTCACCTTCCTTCATATTTTTTTCATCAATTCCCTTGATATTCTGGACCTTTTGCTCTTGCAGATGAATTGTGTTATTATTTTTTCAAGCACTCTAAAATAATTTTGTCAGTTTGATTGGTATGGCACTAAATAAATTAATTTAGGTAGAATTGTCATTTTTATTATATTGGCTTGACCTACTCATGAGCACTTAATATTTCTCCAAATGTTTAGATCTGATTTTATTTATGTGAAAATTATTTTGTAATTGTGCTCATATAGTTCCTATATCTGTCTTGACAGGCAGACTCCCTAATATTTCACATTGTCTACAGTTATTTTAAATTATTTTCCTTCTATCTCTTCCTGCTGTACAACAACATGTAGCTATTTTCATTGTCTCCTTTGTGTCTTAATTTTCCCTGTCAATATAGTAACTTTCGCTGGTCAGGTTCTTCTTTGTTATTTGTTCATCTTTCCAACCTAGTTCTTGGCTTATTTTCTGTTGTTCAGCTGTTTCAGTTGTGTCTGACTCTGTGACACTATTTGGGGTTTTCTTGGCAAAGATACTAAAATGGTTTGGCATTTCCTTCTTCAACTCATTTTACAGATGAGGAAACTGAGGCAAACAGGGATAAGTGACTTGCTCAGGGTCACACAGCTAGTAAGTGTCTCTGACAAGGTTCGAACTCATAAAGATGAATCTTCCTGATTCCTGGCCCAGTGCTCTATCCACTTCACCATCTAGTTGCATCTTCTTAATATATAACTTTATGCTAAAGTGGGGCTCTGCTCCCTGGGTGAAGGGGGCACTGTCCCAAACTTCAAGTTTTTTTTTGCTTCTCTTTTCAGAGCAATGTTATGGGGGATCTGTAAGTTTTCAGTTCTTTTAAGGTGATATATTTACTGAGAGGTGTGAACACTGCTCTCCTGGCCTGGGCTCTGGTCTGTGAGCAACCACGAGCACTTTTCTCCACCCTGGAACTGTGACCCTGCTCCATGGCAGCAGCCAGCCCTTTCACTCCTTATGACTCTGAAATTGCAGCTCATGCTCCTGTTCTCCTGGGATTACAAGCAATTTCTGCGTTGGACTTGATACCAGGACTCCTGTTCCTCTGCAGGAAAGGAGTAAACACCTCATCCTTGATCATACTACCTTGGAAAAACAGAAAATTTATACCTCCCTAGAAATATCTCTGAAAACAGCTGCACAAAATCCCTGAAGCTTGGGACAGTACATCCTCCACACGGGAAGCATACCCCTACCTTAACAAAGAGTTTAAAAGTCAAATAATTGGCTGGGATCATGAGCAAGCAGTGTGAAAAAACTCAAACCATAGAATCTTACTTTGGTGACAAAGCAGATCAAAACCTACAAACAGAAGAAGACAACAAAGTCAAAGCTCCTACATCCAAAGCCTCCAAGAAAAATATGAATCAGTCCCAGGCTATGGAAGAGCTCAAAAAGGATTTTGAGAAGCAAGTAAAAGAATTAGAAGAAAAACTAGGAAGAGATATGAGAGTGATGCAAGAAAATCATGAAAAGCAAGTCAACAGCTTGCTAAAAAAGGCCCCCCAAAATACTGAAGAAATAACACCTTAAAAAATAGCCTAACCCAAATGGCCAAAGAGGTCCAAAAAGCCAACAGGGAGAAGAACGCCTTGAAAAGCAGAATTGGCCAAATGGAAAAGGAAGTCCAAAAGCTCACTGAAGATAATATTTCCTTAAAAATTAGAATGGAGCAAATGGAAGCTAGCCAACTTTATGAGAAATCAAGACATTGTAAAACAAAACCAAAAGAATGAAAAAATAGAAGACAATGTGAAATATCTCATCGGAAAAACAACTGACCTGGAAAAAAGATCCAGGACAGATAATTTAAAAATTATTGGACTATCTGAAAGCCATGATCAAAAAAAGAGCCTAGACATCATCTTTCAAGAAATTATCAAGGAAAACTGCCCTGATATTCTAGAAGCAGAGGGTAAAATGGAAATGGAAAGAATCCACCAATCACCTCCTGAAAGAGATCCCCAAAGGAAAACTCTTAGGAATATTATAGCCAAATTCCAGAGTTCCCAGGTCAAAGAGAAAATATTGCAAGCAGCCAGAAAGAAACAATTCAAGAATGGTAGAGCAACAGTCAGGATAACACAAGATTTAGCAGCTTCTACATTAGCTTGGAATATAATATTCCATAAGTCAAAGGAGACAGGATTGCAACCAAGAATCACCTACCCAGCAAAACTGAGTATAATCCTTCAGGGGAAAAAATGGAAATTTACTGAAATAGAGGACTTTCAAGCATTCTTGATGAAAAGACCAGAGCTGAATAGAAAATTTGACTTTCAAATATAGGACTCCAGTGGAACATGAAGAGGTAAACAGGAAAGAGAAATCATAAGGGACTTATTAAAGTTGATTAAAGTTGAACTGTTTACATTCCTACATGGAAATGATATTTGTAACTCATGAGACCTTTGTCAGCATTAGAGTAGTTGGAAGGAGAAAAAATTAGATAGATAGATAGATAGATAGATAGATAGATAGATAGATAGAGGGCACAGAGTGAGTTGAAGATGAAGGCGTGATATCTAAAAAATAAAATTAAGGGGTGAGAGAGGATTATACTGGGAGAAGGAGAAAGAGAGAGGTAGAATGGGGTAAATTATCTCACATAAAACAGAGAAGAAAAGGCTTTTACAGTGGTGGGGAAGTGGGGGAAGGTGACAGGGAATGACTGAATCTTATTCTCATCGGATTTGGCTTAAGGAGGGAATAACACACACACTCAATTGGGTATGTAAATTTATCTTACCCTACAGGGAAACAGGAAGGGAAGGGGATAAAAAAGGGGGGAATAATAGAAGGGAGGGCAGATTGGAGGAGGGGGTAATCAGAAGCAAACACTTCTGAGGAGGGACAGGGTTAAAAGAGAAGAGGAAAAATGGGAGGTAATCAGAAGCAAACACTCCTGAAGAGGGACAGGGTTAAAAGAGAGATAGAATAAACGAGGGGGTAATCAGAAACAAATACTTCTGAGGAGGGACAGAGTTAAAAGAGAGAATAGAGTAAATGGGGGGCAGGATAGGATGAAAGGAAATATAGCTAGTTTTTCCCAACATGATTACTATGGAAGTGTTTTGCAAGACTACACATATATAACCTGAATTGAGTTGCTTGCTTTCTCAATGAGAGTGGGTGGTGAGGGAGGAAGGGAGAAAATTTGGAACCCAAAGTTTTTTTTTAAAATGTTAAAAATTGTTTTCACATGCAACTGTGAAATAAGATATACAGGCAATGGGGTATAGAATCTATCCTGCCCTACAGGAAAATAGAAGGAGAAAGGGATAAGAGAAAGGGAGGGGTGATAGAAGGGAGGGCAGATTAGGGGAAGGGGTATTCAGAATGCATGCCATCTTGGGTGGGGGGAAGATGGGGAGAAAATTTGGAACTCAAAATCTTGTGGAAGTTAAAGCTGAAAACTAAAAATTAATTAATTAATTTGTGTTTAATATAAAAAGTTTAAAAAAAAAAAAGAATCCTCCATTTTAAAACACAGTACCAAAACCTCAGTCATCCATACACATGGGAAACTAATGTAACCAAGAGGCAGTAACTTGTCATTCATTCAAATCCTCCCAGTACCATTTTGGTTTGTGCTAACTATATAAAACTGACACCTACTTGAAGAAAGCAATCAGTAGATTCACCATGATGATATACTGGACAAAGAGATAGACAGCTTGAAGGAATGGAGTAATGAAGGAACCAGGAGGGCAGTTTTCATCGCTTTCACAAACTACAAATAAAGAAAAATTTCAAAACAGAAAACATAAGTCATATTTTGGCATTATTCAATACAGCATGATTTATCTTATGTTAACTACATATGTGACCAGGAATGTGCCTTACGTCTCAAAAATTCAGATCATAAACTCACAGAACTCCTCATTGTTAACAACCTACAAAACTTTAATTCCTCCAAAAAATAGAAAAATGTCTAGTTACCATCTATCTCTGAAGCATAGACTTCCCCAAACATCATCCAGTATGGCTGAAATACAATATCACGAGCCATTGTCCAAGATGGGGACTCATGCGGAGAAAGAATTGCTTTTCGTGCCACTCCAAAGCTCAAGATCACTATGGCCATCATGATCACAATGTAGAACATATTTGCTGTCTGAAAAATATAATATGGACACAACCAGCTGTGACCTGGGACAACAACTATGGTATTCATTTAAACATGGAACACGAAGTTATAACTAATAAAGGCCAACCATAGTATAAGAAAAAAATCCATCTGTTGTCAGCATAATTGTCTGACTCTTAAACTTTTGTACTTGATTTTTTAAAAACACCTTCATCTGGGTATATCCTAAGCTGTAGTTTTTATTTCAGTGTTATTTTATTCTGTGAATGTCTTACGTCAAAGTTGCCTACAATCAAATAAAATCTTTTGAGAGCAAATAATCTGTCTGTCCTTTCTCTGTTGGAATTAAATTCATCACACCAGCCTCATGAACAAAATTAAATTTTAACTGTTCTTGGAATGTCCAGCAGTTAATAATTCATTCAGAAGTCTGTCTTCTCCTTCCATTGAGTACCCAGCTCTTGGGGGCTTACCACCTCATTAGGAATACTCAAAAAAGGCTGGGTAGAATACTAATCAAACTGGTTCTTTTTTGTAGTACCATTATCAGGAACTCACATTAGGTAAATTTGTTTGGCCACGTTTTCATTTTAACTGCCAAAATTATATCTATTCCATCCATTTTATTATCATATATAAATGCCAAATTCACCAAAAGCAAACATGCTAAAACTGGTCTAATCCTAGATTATAAATTTATATATATATATATATATACATATATATATATAAAATATATATATATATATATATATATATATATACATATATATATATAAAAAACATACAATTAATATAATTATAATAATAATTTATATATAATTATAAATTATATAAATTATTTAAAAAGCTGTTTGTCTCTTAGGTTTCATCCATTTTTCTTCTCATGCTCCTCTCCTCCATTTCAATGCAATATCATCACCCAAACCTTTCTCATCCCAGGACTAGTAGCTGTCACAGAAAGGACCAGATTCAAAAGGGCATCTGAATATACTTGGGCTCTCTCCAGAGAGCCTAAGTTCACTCAAATAGAAAACACTAGATGAAGGAAACTAAAAACCACTCCCACACTGTCTAGGGAAGAGACTAATAGTTGCTTTAGTTCAGAAAACGTCATGGAAGTGAACTAAAAAGAATAAGGCCTTCACGTTTACATGCAAGCTCAAAGTTCATTTGTGGAAGCTTAATGGTGCCAAGGCCTCATCAGGAAGATCTAAGTTCAAATTTGGTCTCTCACACTTTCTAGCTGTGTGACCCTGGGCAACTCACTTAAACTCTGTTTGCCTCAGTTTGCTCAACTGAAAATAGGGATGATAATAATAGCACCTACATCAAAGACTTGTTGCAAAGATCAAATGAGATAACATTTATAAAATATACTTAGCATAGTGGCTGGCAGATAATAGGTGTTTAATAAATACTCATTCCCTTCCCCTTTTATTTAGTTCAAATGTCACCTGGCACACAGCTTAAGAGTAATATATTCTTGCTATATATGTGTGTATAGTATCCACGGAGCAAATGGTGGTGTTGTTCAGTCACTTTTCAGTTGTGTCCAACTCTTCATGATCCCTTTTGGGGTTTTCTTGGCAAAGGTATTAGAATAGTTTGCCATTTCCTTCTCCAGCTACAGATGAGGAAACTGAGGCAAACAAGATTAAGTGACTTGCCTAAGGTCACACGAGTAGTAAGTGCATGTGGCTAGATTTTAATTCAGGAAGATGAGTCTCTTCCTGATTTCAAGCCTAGTGCTCCATCTACTGTGATGGAGCAAATCATAAATATTAATGACCAGTGACATGGTAAGAGTAAACTCTTTCTTTTCATAAATGTTCCCCAAAGTACATATAAGCTAATCTGAGGGCTATGTGAAACCTGTTCAAAAACCAGACTATTCCCCATAAATGGTCAAAGAATATGAATAGGTAGTTTTCATAAGAAGAAATCCAAGATATTAACAACAATTTTTTAAAAATGATCCAAACGTCTAACAATTAGAAAAATGCAAATTTAAGCAGCCTGGAAGTTCTGCCTCACACCCATCAGATAAGCAAAATCGGCAAAAGAGGAAAATGCAAATGATGGTATAGCTATGAATTGGTCCTTCCATTCTGGAAAGCAATTTGGAACAATGTCAAAAAAGATATTAAACTGTACATACCCTTTGAGCTATATATCCCAAAGGGATAAAAGGAGGGAAGAGCTCCATCTGTACAAAACTTTTGTAGCAGATTTTTGTCTTTAGGAAATCAAAGAGCCAGAAACTAAAAGGGTGCCCAGGGTTACCCATCAATTGGAGAATGGCTGAATAAATTATGCATAAGAATAAAATGGAATACTACTGTGCTATAAGAAATGGTTAAAAGAGAAGATTTCAAAAAACCTAGGAAGACTTGTATGAACTGACGCTGAGTGAAGTGAGAAAGAAAAATCAAGAGAACAATTTATATAATAACAACAATGAAAGACAAAACAACTCTGAAAGACTTAAGAACTTATAGGAAAAATGATTTATTATATTGTTTGCAAAAATTAGTGTACTATTTAAATCTAACCTTAAATGATTAAAAAAAAAATGTCCAGGGCAGCTAGGTGGCACAGTGGATAGAGCACCGGCCTAGGAATCAGGAGGACCTGAGTTCAAATCCAGCCTCAGACACTTGACACTTACTAGCTGTGTGACCCTGGGCAAGTAACTTAACCTCGATTGCCTCACCAAAAAAACAAACAAACAAACAAACAAAAAATGTCCATACCCAGAACTTCACCTGATCCCAGTAACTCTCTAGGAATGCTAGAGATAGCTACAAGGTATTTTGAGTTTTCCCAGGTCTCAGATCCACCCAAATCATTCTTGTTTTGAGTTACCACACCCAGGGCTTGTGATGGGTCCACCCAAGATTGTGTTTTGGTCTCCCTTATGTGGTTACCTCCTGTGGTTCACGTTCAGGTTCCCTTGTTTAAATTTTACAGAACATAAAACTTCCAGGGCCTTTAGGGGAGGGGGTCACACCAGTGATGGAGGTTGATGAAGGTTATTTTGTACAAATAAACAAATGTAACCACCCCTTTTTCAGGAGGTGGGCAACCCTTCATCACTAGTCCTCTGGAATCATGGTTGGTCATTGCATTGATAGAGTTGTTGTTCATGAGAACCCCTAAATCTGAAATAATTTTAGAAAAAAATTTACTAAGACATTTGATAAAGGAGAAAGGAGGCAAGACTCCAAGATACAGAATAAGACATAGATTTTTGGACATACTGGAATTTATTTTGCTTAACTATGCATATTTGTTTTAAGGGTTTTGTTTTGTTTTTCTTTCTTTTTTTGAAACAATTGGGAAAGGTAAAAAGGAGAGAAAATAATATTTTTTAATTGAAAAAAAAATCTTATAAAGAAAGAAAAATCACTGGCTATGGCCAGAGAATACTCACCATCTTTCCAATCATGGTTAAATATGGACCAGCATGTTGATTCACAGCAAGGAAGTCCAAGAGTCGTGAGTACCAGAATATGATATCTATGCAGTAAATTAACCTTCCAGCTGTTTGTGTGGGAGGATCAGCCCATCGAAGGCCAAAACCAATTGTAAACAAGCTGATGGCAATAGTTTCTATTAAATTCCAGTATTCATTAATCCACACCTTCACCTTTTGGATGAACTTCCCTGGTTCTGAAATAAATATCTAGAGAGGGAAAAGAGATAAGAAAGGTTAATGGAATTATTGAATATCAATCAAGAGATCCTAGGATCACAAATTTAACAGCTGGAAGGGAACTCATTAGTCATCTAGTCTAACCCCCTCGTTTTACAGATGGAAAGAAAATGATGCCAAGAACTGGTTTGTTGAAGTCATACAGTTTGAAAATAGCAGAATTAGCATCTGAACCCAGGTCTGACTCTCCAACTCCTGTACTCTTTCTGCTCAGCTGTATCGATCACCCATCCTATCTCCAGGTATTTTAGGGGCCAAAATTAATCTCAATGTATGGATCATATATCAAACAGGAACTTGCCTACAGCAAAGGTTCAATAAATGTGTTGTGATATTATTGAAAGTAACGATGATGAGAAATGGTTTGGTAAAAATTTTTGTGAATATAATGTCAAGTCAAAAACATGGAGCTTTTCTAGACAACACTGACTCTAAAGCAACAAAAAGCAACAGAGAAGCATTTTTCCCCACATTAAAATATTTGCCTTCACTCAATATAAGCCAAATTCTAATGGTAGACTTAAATGAAGCATTAAAAAAAACAACAACTCTAAACTTACCACCAAAAAGAAAAAATAAGAAACATTTCCAACAACAAAGTCAGACAGAAAAAGAAAAGTGTACATGAACCTAAGAATCTCTATTAGTTAGGATTGTGTTTTGTTTTGTTTGTAAGTACATGATCCATTCAAAATGCTATTTTCACTCTGAAGTACCACCACATCACACCTATCAGACTGGCCAACATGACAAAACAGGAAAATGATAAATGTTGGAGCAGATGTGGGAAAATTGGAACACTAATGCATTGTTAGTGGAGTTGTGAAATGATCCAACCATTTTGGAGAACAATGTGGAACTATGCCCAAAAGACCATAAAAATATGAATACCCTTTGACCCAGCAATAGCACTTCTAGGGCTGCATCCCAAAGAGATCATACAAATGGGAAAAGGACCCAAATGTACAAAAATATTCACAGCAGCTCTTTTTGTGGTGGCAAAGAATTGGAAATTGAGAGGATGCCAATCAATTGGGGAATGGCTGAGCAAGTTGTGATATATGAAAGTAATGAAATACTATTGTGCTATAAGAAATGATGAACAGGCTGACTTCAGAAAAACCTGGAAAGATGTGTATGGTCTGATGCTGAGTGAAGTGAGCAGAACCAGGAGAACATTGTACACAATAACAGCCACGTTGTGCAATGACTAATATTGACAAATTTAACCCTTCCCAGCAATACAAGGATCTAAGACATCTCCAAAGGCCTCGTGATGGAAAATGCTATCCACATCCAAAGAAAGAACTATGTAGTTTGAATGCAGATCGAAGCATACTATTTGCTATTTTTTTTTCTCTTCTGTTGAGTTTTGTTTCCTCTTTCTGGTGGTTCCTCCTATTGCTTCTAATTTTTACGTACAACATCACTAATCTGAAAATATGTTTAATAAGAATGTATATGTCTAGCCCATATCAGATTGTGTGCTGTCTTGGGGAGGGTGGTGGGGAGGAAGGGGGAGAAAAATTTTAAACTCAAAAGCATATGAAAGTGATTGTTGATAAATCAAAATAAATTAATAAAAAATTTGAAAAAAGAAAAAAAGAAAGAAATGCTATTTTCAAAGCTATCCTTCTTGTCTGTTTCCTTCTGAACTTCCTTTGGTTTTCTTCTGTGCATTTTTTAAAGAGGCATACACTTTTTTTTTAAGCTTGAAAGAATTTTGTTATAATATCATTACATTTTTAGAAACCTCATTCTCAAACCACAGGGATTGTAAGTGAAAAGGATCGGATCTGTTTTCAGTAGTAATTTAGTACTGTGGTAAAAGAAATGCTCTGAACATAGAACATTTAAAGGCAGAGATGATTAGGAGGCTTGAGGTGGAGAGATAGGGCTTTTGCTATTTGATGCTTATTAGTATCTAGCTAAAACAGACCAAAAGTTTTAAAAAGCTCAGAAATACCACATCTCTGATCATAATCAGTTCTTTCCTGATGAAACACTTTACATTTGACCTTCAATCCCAGGGCCCCTCATTACTCTACCAGTTCCTCCCCTGGCTTCATGTAGCTCCCTACCCAATCTGAATTCCATTGTTAGCTTCTTTGAATTTTTTCCTGGCCTGTCATCACAATCTTTAAACCTAGATTCTTCCCATTATCTTTTTTTTTTCTCTGTTCCCAGTCTCAGGTTGCCTGCTTGGGAAACCCAGTTCACTGAGATCATATTTTGAAACTATGCCCAAAAAGTTATTAAACTATGCATACTCGTTGCTCCAGCAATTCCAATAGCAGGTTCTACATACAAAAGAGATAAAAGAAAGAAAGGACTTAAATGTACAAAAATATTTATAGTAGCCATTTTTGTATAGGCAAAGAATTTGAAAAGGAGGCAATGCTCATCAAATAGGGAATGACAAAGTATTCTATCTTGCTGCAAGAAATAATGGAGAACAGCTTCAAAAAAAAAAAACCTGGAAAGATTTATATCAGCTCCTGCAGAGTTAAGTGAGGAGTTAGGTTAGGAGAACAATTTATTCAACAACAACATTATTGTAAAGACAAGCAATTTTGAAAAGCTTTATAAATCTGATCAATGCAACAACCAACCAGAATTTCAGAGGACTCACAACAAAGCATGCTATCCACCTCATGATGGAGAAGTGATGGTCTCAGAGTACACTTTTTTTTTAACATGACCAATGGGGGAATTTATTTTGCTTGACTATACATATTTGTAACAAAGGGTTTGTTTTTCTCTCTCTCTCTCTCTTTCTCAAGGGGAGAGGATAGGAGGGAGAGAAGTTCATTTTTCAATAATTAAAAAGATAACAATTTAATTAAAAAAAAACAAACTCGTGCTATTGAACTTCACTTGGTTCCTTGCTTTTTTAGGGGGAAAGATAAGGTGGGGTCTGTACCTGTGATAACATTGCTACAGAGAATTGCTATATAAAGGAGGCATTATTTGCTGAGGAAGTCCTGTCATATTCCCCACAGTAACTATTTCAAACTTTTTCTATTCTCCTCAGGCTCTCAATACTAACCTCTTCCATGCCTCTCAAACTCAATGGAAGACATTACCTTTTGCTTCACTGTGATTACTAAGGTGATCCAATGGGAGCTGATTAAGGTCTCCCTTCCAAACCTTAAAACTTTTATTGATACACTCATTTTCTCCTCCTTCCAGAAGGTCTCATATAAACATATGGTCTGTCTTCTTTACCAAGACTATCACTTCTAATACAAGATCCCATTATCTTTCACCTGGTCTTACTACAATACCCTCCTAACATTTCTCCCCACCTGCATTCCATCCTACACACTAACGCAGGCTTAATCATCCCAAAGCACAGCTCTCATCATGTCACTTCCCTGCTCGTGAAACATTAGTGACAAGTTGCTGCCTACAAAAGTAAGTCTCAACTCTTTAGCTTCACATTCAAGACTCGTCACCATATGGCACCAGTCTTAGTTCATGTTATTCAGCTTCATATACCCTGCTCTAGACAAATAGAATACTTTTTATTCCATGAACACATCTTAGGTTTTTCTATCTTTATGCCTTCAATCATGACATGATTTTCTGGACTGCTTTTTCCACTCTCATTTCTATCTGGTGAAATACGACACACTTTGCAATATCCTACCCAAATACCACCTCCTCAAGGAGGCCTCCATGACTTAGAAGCCAGAAATGATATCTTCTTCTTTGTAGCTCTTATAGAATATTGTTGGTATTTCTCATTCCCTACATTACACTCAATTCAATGTGTGTTTGATCCCCCCTTTTGAGACTATAAGCTCCTTGACCACACAGAACCATGTCTTATTTACATTCATATCCTCTTAAAGTCCTAGAATACTGTTTTGAATTTACTAGGACAAGGTGAGCAATAAATCTTTGTTAAATAGGCCAATGAATGAGTTACAAATCATCCTCACCGTAATTTTTTTTTAATTAATGGAAATCTATTTTCTGTCCTTCCTTTTCCTCCCACATTGGGGAAAAAAATACCTTGTAACAACTATGCAAAGTTAAGCAAAACAAATTCCCTCATAAGCTGTGTGCAAAAACAAATTATGCATCATTCTATACCCTGAATCCATCGCTCAGCCAGGAGGTAGACAATGTGTTTCATCCACAGTCCTCTGGAATCATGAATGGTCATAGCATTAGTCAGAGTTGTTAGAACTTTCAAAGCTGCTCGTAGTTACAATGTTGTTGTTAGTGTACAAATTGGTTTCCTGGTTCTCCTCATTTCTTCATCACCAGTTTCTAAAAGTCTTCAAAAGTGTTCAACTTATAAAACTGATACTATAACATAAATTTTAATTTTAATTTACATAGTGTATTAGTGAATAGGAAATAATTGGTAAGCCACAATCAATCAATGACTTTTGTTACAGATCAAGACTCTCATAAGAACCAGTACTAGAAAATGCATCTGTCATACTATGTTATTATAGTTGACCATTTATCATAACCAAATCTACCATGTATTATTATTATCAACCATCTGCTGCTCTGTAGAATGAGCTTTATTATTATAACAAACCCTTTATTATAATGACAATCACCATGAAATTTTACCTGAATGATATAATGTCTAACAAATGGTGAAATGAGACTGTAATAAAGTTATTTTCCCCAAAGCCTCTAAGATGACAGTATAGACGTGGTCTCTCCCTGTCTTATTTCCCAAAAGAGATAGTAAGTTCCAGTACAGTCAATAACAAACAATATATCTATAATATTAAAAATACATCTACTTAGTAATACTGAACAAGTTGTCTGAAGGAAGAAATAAATGAAAATAACTCCATGTGACCTTTAAGACCTAGAAACATATGTTTCCTGAAACTGTAAGAGTAGAGGTCATAATTATGTCTGATGGTAATTGCATGTTGTAAGCTTGTTGGGAAAGCACCACTTTTTTTTTAAAGGCAAATTGAATGATTAACTTGGAAATATATTTTGCATGACTTCATACACATAATGGGCATTGTATTTCTTGCCTTCTCACAATGGGTGCAGGAAGAGTAGAGGGAAAGAGAGAATCTGGAACTGAATATAATTTTTTTAAAGCAAGTTAAAAACGAGAAAGGAATATTTGTTTTGTTTCTGTAAAAAGGGCCCTGGGGAAATTTTAGTTTCAATCAACAAGGTATGTTGTATAACCTTTGGAAAGCTATAAATGAACTCACACACTACCTAACTTCTGCTACTTGAACAACACTCATATCTGTGAGTTGAAACAGATAAGAGGCAAATATAAGAGAAGTCAAGTAATGGCAGGCTGTAACAATTACCATCAAAGGGAATGTGTCTAAACAGTCACAAATAGTAGGCAGGTCTATTAGTAGTTCAATGATGTGAAATGTAAGAAGCAATCTTCCTTCCTGTCCCCCAAAGACCATAAATGAGAACAATAATAAAAAAACTTCTGTAGAAGACAATGACCTTAGAATTCCCTAAGGATAACAAGGAGCTGGAACAATCAGAATAAGATGAGGGGATTTTATTCTGTAAGAAGCTACCCTTCATATAGTAGCCACCATAGGTAAGAAATTAGACTGAGAAGACAGCTACATCCCGTTCCTTGGCAGAAGTGAGAGGTCCATGAGTATGGTACATTGCACATACTTTCAGCCTTTTTTTAATGTATTGGTGAGTTTTGCTGATTTTTTTTTTCCATTTTTGTCTTTAAAATATTATTTGTTATAATTGCATGACTCTCTGGAGAGAGAAGGGGAGAGATACTGGGGGAAATTTTGGTAATAAAATTTTTTTTTAATTTTAAAAATTAAAAGAAAGCAAGTTAAGCACTTCTATTTCATTAATAGGGCAGCTAGGTGGGGCAGTGAACAGAGGGACAGGCCTCGAATTAGAAAGACTTGAGTTCAAATTGGTCAACAACTAATGGCCATGTGACCTTGGACCACTCACTTAACCCCTGTTTGCCTCAAGTTTCCTCAATTGCAAAACAGGCATAATAATAGTACCTACCTCAAAGGGTTGTTGTAAGGACCAAACGAGATATTTCTTAAACTGCTTAGCACAGTATATAGTAGATGATCCCTTCCTAGATAGATATACACACACACATATATATACATATATACATACATGTGTGTGTGTGTATATATATATATATATATATACATGTATGTATGTGTGTGTGTGTGTGTGTATCCCATTTTCCTTTAAAAAGGGCTGATTTCCTCCACCAAAACAAGAGTTTATAGAAAGGGGTAAAATGTAAGAACTCACCTCCCTGACTTTCTCAATGGCAGTGGTAAAAATATAGATAATAACAAGCCACTCTTGCACTGTGGGCCGAGGCTGCATCTCCACCAATACAGTATACGTGAAGAGCATGAGAAATGCCAAGTATGTCATCTGTGGAAGAGAGATACACATACATCATTGAGCTAGTAATAGAATTAGAAAAAGCAGACCAAGCTGGAATACCTTTAAATAACATTAGAATCAAGAACCATCTCATATTTAAAAACATAAATAGGTATCTTGTAAAGAAAGAAAAATGGAAGAGGAAGAAAGAGCACACTGGCTTTGGAATCAGGAAATCTGAGTTCAATTTGCAGCTCTAATACTTACTAGCTATATAATGTTAGACAAGTCATTTAAATTCTAAATAGAAAGCTATCATCTGCTAAGTGGTAAGCAATATGCATCATTCTGACCCTAAATAACTGAAAGTTAATAATACTAATTAAGTGAGATAAGTTATGCAGAGTATTTTGTAAACCTTCAAGTACTATGTGTATTCACTTAAGAACTGAAGGGAGAAGAGTTAAATCTGGTATGTTACTTTAAGTTGTAAAATGTGAAGGTTCACCTCAAGAATCTTCTAGCAAATTCATTTGCTGTTTTATCAATTCCTTAAGATTAAAATTCATATAGTGGACATGATGAAACTGGAAGATCCTGGGTTTTGGATAAAGACAGTAACTGAAGATAAGGTTCGCAGCATTTAGCTGTCCCTACCACCACCACAACCACCACCACCACCATTCAATCTTCAATGTCAAAGTCTCTGTGGAAGTCCCTTGGGTAACCTAGGAAGCAGGACTGACAAGGCTGGAGTTGAGCTAAGTAGCAGTCACCACTGGCTTCCTCAAAACAGACAGTATCAGTGAGTAATACAATGGTCCTGGGCTTTTCTTTGAGGTTCAAACACAATCACTGCCCACCACCTTCAGACACACATATTTTAGACACTGGACCAAACAAACAAGCTGTAAAAAATGAAATATATAAGCACAATAGGTGTTAATCTTAGGTATACTTTACCATAATATTTCCAAGTCAGACAGTTCTGTTAGCTATCTATTCCACCAAGCTATCCTAATTTTGGCTGCCTGTTTGGTACGCTTTTTAAAGCATCCATCTTAAAATTATTAATTCTGATTCTTAAAGTCAATTATTTAAATTACTGAAATCAGAAGATTTTTTAAAACTGATTTAATCACTGTCATTAATTTGGAAGTGGAAGGGCCTATAGAAACAATCAAGTTTATCCTCCTTCATTTTACAGTTGAGAAAACTGAGACGTTGAGAGTTTAAGTGACTTAGTTTGTAGAGAGGCAAGGTCTTCCTCATTCCAAATACAGTTCCCAAGCCACCACACCACTCTTCCTCTCAACTATGTACTTTACTTATGTACGTGTTACAATTAGTCTCCTTTCCATTCTTCATTTTTTTTAATTCCCAAGTAATGCTGTATTGACTAGGATTGCTTTCTAAAGTTAGTATATTCCCTGTTTTACACATTGCAGAGATGCCAATATAGTTGTTTTCTTTCCAAATCTGATCTTTCCTTGTATTCTGAGATGTGTCTAAACAACTCCATAGCTATAGTCTAAAATATATATATTTTCAAGCAATATACTATGTTTCCAAGGCAGGCTTTACTTTACAGTTATTTTATGTGCTTTATAATACTTTACAGTTACTTTATGATTATAAAGCAACAGCATTTCACTCCTTGTCTACCTCCTCATTAGCTTTCATACTGCCATACTCTTTCTTTCTCTTCTCTTCCTTTCTTCTCATTTCTCCTCCCCCATAATCAAATCAATTACATCATTACTCCTGGAAAGGATATACCAATCTGTTCCCCTATAGTTCTACTCTCCATCCCTATACCTTTCTAAATCAAAATATTCCCTCCCTGATGCCACTCCCCTATATTGTCTCCTCCTACTACAATAGAAGCTCCATGAGGGTGTAGACTGCCTTCAGTTTTGCATTAGTATCCTCAAAATTTAGCACAGTGCTTGATAGATACTTAATACATGTTTTCTATTTATTTCAGATAGAGGCCTGGCCTGGAGTTAAGAAGATTTAAATTCAAATCCTGCCTCAGACACTTAACTAGCTGTGTGACCTTGGGCAAGTCACTTAACCTCTGTTTACTTCAGTTTCCTCAGCTATAAAATGGAGATGAATAATAAAACCTACCTCCCAGAATTACTGTGTGGATAATAATTCAAAAGCACATAATAAATGCTATATGTTAGGTATCACTATTATTCATACAGATGTTTAAAGTAAACATGTCCAAGCTTACCCAGATAAAGGAGTACTGTTTTCAAAGAAGTCACACTGGGAGGTTATCCCCTTATCCCAAGGAAACTCCCATGACTCAAACCATTTTTATAACTCCTCTTTGAGAATTGTCCTCAAAGTTGACTGGATAATCTTGAATATTCTCAACAGCAGAAAACCTTGATCCACTTAGGGTAGATTTTATTTTTTGATACAATAAAAAAAAATTTGGAAGTAATTTTAAAATGTTCATTCATTTATTCAATACAAAGAGTGAACAAGTTACATGGCATAGGTTTCTAACAAAACCTACAACGAGCAGACTGATAGTTTCTGTGTGTAGCTCATAAATATCTACAAAACACATGTTCCAAAGATAGTAGGAGAAATGTCTAAACCACTGGAATAAATATAGTTCCTCTCAGGTTCGCTACCGGGAAGGGAAGAGTACTCAGTGAACATGTTTAAGTTCTGTTGTGATTATTAGAAAAAGCATCTTGCTATTTTTATTTTTTTGCCATGCCTTGATTATAGGGCACTTCTATTGAGGAACTTGTTCTCCCAAAGCATATCAACAACTTTTCTATAACTTAAGAATTTTAGAGAGCTCCATGGGCCCATGAGAGATTAAGTGACTGTTCCATGGTCACACAGCCAGTATGGAGCATATCTGGAACTTGAACCCAAGACCTCCTGATGAGGAGGCAAGCTCCCTACTCACTTCAACACATGGCATTTTCACTGATTTAGAAAACTGTGTGAATCAGAAAAAGATTTTAGGCATACCTGTAGACTGCAAAATTTCTATTAGTATTTACACCATCCAAAATAGAACTGCATCTGTTTATTAAAATTTTGACTTTTTAAAAAAAACACTATTACCTTTCTATTTCTTTTTTCAAAAAACCTATGCCAAATACAGAATTAGAACTCTTATCTGACTTCTATACACAGGGAAGAAATTAAAGTTTCAAGAATTACTGTACACAAATGCTGATTTTCATTGAAAAAAATATGAAGACATACACATTCTTTAGTTATTCTTAAAGTTCTTTCCACAGACTTAGAATCTTAGAGGCAGCTAGGTCGCGCAGTGGATAGAGCTCTGGCCTTGGAGTCAGGAGGACCTGAGTTCAAATTTGATTTTAGACACATAACACTTACTGGCTGTGTGACCCTGGGAAGGTCACTTAACCCTGATTGCCCCATCAAAAAGCAAAAATAAATAAATAAATGACAGACTTAGAATCCTAAAGACCCTTACAAACTTAAGCATCCTTAGAAATCATTGATTTCAACCTTCCTTTATAGTTAGAAAATCAAGAACCAGAAAACCTAAGTTATTTGGCCAATGTCACAGAGTTAGTTTAGTGCCACAAAGAAGAAGGAAGCAGAAAAAAGAAGCCTTCATTAAGCTATTAATTACTATGTGTGGGGCACTGTGCTAAGTATTTCACAAATATTATTTTATTTGAGCCTCCCAATAACCCTGTCAGGATGGTGCTATTAGGATGAAACTAAAGCAGACAGAGGTTAAATGACTTCCTCAGGGTCACACGGCCAGGAAGTGTCTGAGGCTGGATATGACTTTCAGTCTTCTTGACTCCAGGCCCAACACTCTATCCTTTCAGCCATCCAGCTACCATAACCAGTCCTGTGAATCCAGTCCAGTGTTCTTTCTACTACCACTACAATCTAGGTCCCAATTAATCTAATCTAATATGATTCTCTCAAAAATACATTGAGAAAACATTACATTCCAAGAATTGTAAAGTCCTCTTAGGTCATCCATAGGGTGTAATATCATGGTATATAACAAGGAGTTCCTAAAAATCTCTTAAGAAAGAAAGCTTATATTTCCATTCCAGGTAGTTTTATCCCTTCCTCTCCCCTACTTCCTTACACTTATCACCATCCTCTGCACCATCATTTCAAACACTGAAAGGGCTTCCTCCCCTTGCAGACACATTCCTTTTTTCTTGAAGGAAAAAATACATCAGCAGTGCTGTCACTAGCTTTTCTGTAATCACTGATCACTACTGTTCATATGACTTGGAGCAGGAACTAACCGTGTAAAACCAGAACTTGACAATTGGAGCGTTGTAGAATTCGTAGACTTTTCTGGTACTAGGAAGGCTTTGGGGCCCACGATGTGAGGCAAAGTTCTGCCTATCATCAGGTGTCTCATAAGATCCCTTTTCAAAATCATAATCCTCCTAGGGGTTTAAAGAGAGAGAAAAAAAAGATGAAAAACATTTGTTTTATTCTCAGGAAACATACCATTCCACTGAATACCCTGGGACAAGAAACATCCTGAAAAGACAATTTGCTACTCTGGAAACCAACCAATTAGTGAATCTGCTTTCCCTGTGATAATAAATCCAACTCACTTGCAAGTCATTGATCCTCCTTGAGAATGAAGGATGCAGGACAGTTAGGTAGCGCAGTAGATTAAACTCCAGCCTTAGAGGCAGGAGAACCTGAGTTCAAATCCAGCCTCAGACACTTGACACTTACTAGCCACGTGACCTTGGGCAAGTCACTTAACCCCAACTGCCTCACCCAAAAAAAATTCTGTCCAAGAGAACAAAGGATGAACAACAACAACCCTAAAAGAGAGGCAGCATGGCAAAGGGAATAGAGATGTGGCCTTGGAGTGAGGAAACCCTGAGCGTAGGTCCCATCTTTGACATATATTGGCTGTATAATCCCAGGCAAGTAATTTATTCTTTCAGTGTACTCAGTAACTCTTTAGAATTCTAAGTTATGGAACAGTTGTTTATTCACATTCGTGGAAGGGTCAGCACCCTACACTGATTAAGTTACAAGTTCACAACTCAGTAAGTAAAGAGAAGGAAACTGTGCATCCAAAACTATATCTATTTTCATCTAGAACTAGGAGTTCATAGATGGAACTTCTTCTGTGGAAACTCCCTTCACCAAAACAGATCGGCAGCAACTGTAATTTTTACTCTTGTAGGTTTCCTCAGGCACCAAGAGGTTAAATAACTTGCTCACAGTGACTCAGTCATATGTATCAGGGACAGAACACTAAATCCACCTCTCTATCGCACTGTGTCATACCACCTCTTACTCCTTTACATTACTATGTCCTTTATGATCTCTATTATATGGATGAGGAAACTGATCCACAGAGCACTTTAATGTCTTTTTCACTGTCACAGAAAAAGGCAGGTGCACAGTATTGAGGGGTGGAGGGGGGACTTTTATCACAATTTAGAATATGAGTAATAGATTTTATTCTGGATACATGGTAGCCCAAAAGAGTCAATGCACTTTTAAGCTTTAATGGCTTAGAACTTTGCTAAATCTTTTGGCATACCCAGTTTAATTCACAAACCCGGGCAAGCAAAAGTTATCAATCGACACATAGAGAAGTGTATCTTTATGGGACAAGAGGGCTCCTTATATTATCCATTTCCCACAAATACTTAAACACTATTAGACTGGATTCCCAACTGGTCAGCCACTGACCTTGGGGGCAGCTCATTGTATTTCAAGGGAGGAGAAACAGACTGGTTAATCTCCTAGGCTTTTATTAGCCTAAGAAATATGAGTCAGGATGGACTTTATATCTCGGTTGGCCTTATCCAAGTACTGGGGTAAAGGGCTGCAAAGGTTAGATGTGACTCCCCATTTCTATTTGAAAAGAAGGCTTATTCTGAAACGGAATTATTCATGTCAGTTTCTCTCTGTCTCTCTGTCTCTGTCTTCATCTCTGTCTCTCTCTTTGTCTCTGTCTGTCGTCGCAGTCTCAGTCTCTCTATCTCTGTCTCTCTCCCCACCACCCCCACATTTATTCCTTGTTAGCTCTCTCTACTAAGACCAATAATACCAAAGTAATCACAAAATCTCCCTCAAAGCCAGTCCTACGCAGCTGAAAATTAGTCAGTTATTCAAGACAAAAGAACAATCTCTGCCTTTGCTTTAATCATCTAAATAACTGACCTCAAGAGAGATGATTCTGTGACCTAGACTATTCAGATGAATTATCTGTATTTCCTAACTAACTGTGAATTATTGTTGAATTATCCACTTCCTTTCTTACACTGAGTCCTGAACTGTGCCTACAGCCAGAAAAATCAGTTTGAATCCTAGCAGATTAGAGCCAGAATACAGTTGGAATAGCCTAGAAAAGCAGTGACTTACTGAGATCTTAATGGCATAAATACCACTTAGGAAGAGCTCAGTAGGTAACTGTGGCAATGAGTTTCCTATTAAATAACTTCTTGTTTGTATTATATTTTCTACAGTAGCATTCCATCAGATCTGAATTGCCCTTAGTTATTACAGCAATTAGGTAGAGATAATCAAATTTATTATAGCAATTTGGTAGAGATAATCAAATGCTAATTGATGTTATCCCAAGAAAGAATGCTGAATTTCTAGAAGTAAACTGCCATGATAAAGAGTCCAGAACTATAGTGGAAAAAAAGAAAAACTGGACCATAAGAAACAGAAGGCCAGAGCTGGAGTTCCAACTCTAGCAACTGAGTATGAACAAGTCACTTGGTCTCTGAGTTTCAGTCTCCTTATCTATACAATGGAGAGAATAACATTCTCACTGCTTACTTCATAGGGCTGGTGTAAGAAATGTGCTTTACAATCTTGGAAGTGCTACATAAATACGCCCTCAAAAAATTATGAATGCAATTTAAGAATTCAAATCCAAACCAAAGAGGGAGGAGAAGAACTGGAACTCTGTTTAAGGAGGCAGAACTAAAAAGATTTAGCTCTTGAAGTTGATAGGATCTTAGATTTAGAAATGAAAGAGACCTCAGAAGCTACCTAATCCAGCCCCTTCATTTTACAGATAAAGAAACTAAGAGCCCAAATTGGTAACTGACCTAACATCACACAGGTACTCAGAATCAGCGTCAACATTTGAACCTTAGTCCCCTGACTCCCAGAGGTAGCAGAACATGCTACCCATTTCTGGACAAAGGAGTGATGCACTCAAGATGCAAAATGAGAAACACATTTTTGGACACAGCCAATGTGTGAATTTGCTTTGTCTGACTATGCATATGTTTACAAGGCCTTTGTTGTTGTTGTTGTTGTTTTAGGTCGGTTGTTTGCTTGTTTTTGTTTCCATGGAGAGAAGCGAGGAAGGGAAAAGAGAGAAAGAAAATAAATGCTAACTAGTTGGGAAAAAAATACTTTGTCAATTTATTTTTTAAAAAGTCAACAGCATTCTTTTCACTGTTTTACACTCTATTTCTTTTTAAGAACTCTCCCTCTTTCTCTTGAAAGAAGAAACTACAGCATGATTTCATATTTTCTTTTGGGTTATAACAATTTTCTTTCACTTTAAAGAGACATCAGTATAATGCAGTGTTTTTAATTTTAGTATTAAAGTTCCTTAGCCGACTTTTTCCTTTTGTCATATATTGACATGAGCAAAAAACAAAATCAAAATCCTATTACAATGATTAGGCTAAATTGAAGATGGTGTTTCCATGATGACAAACAAGGATGACTGTTCGAACTATTTAGTTGCTACTTGGTTGTTTTTGTGTTCTGTGTTCTAGTGAAGTCCCAACCCTAACCAGAAAAGCCTGGACATGAACACAGTTATATTACAACCAAATTTCAATTATTCAAGGAGTTTGGGGAAGTGTGTCATATCTGTTATCTGTGCAAGCAAGTTTAATTGCCATTCAAGAAAGGAGTCATTTCTGAGCAATTCTCAGCCTCAGAGTCCTGAGAGACTAACCACTTGGTGGAAAATCTGGCTTCCCAGCATTCTCCTCACATCTGCCAAAGGTTTTTCTCTCTTGAGAAAGAAATGGAGTTTGAGAAGGTGCCTAGTAGTTTCCCATACACACACTCAGAAAGCGCTCTTTGCTTAACACTTGAAAGAAAATGCAAATACATTTTTCTTTGCCATTATACACCCTTAAATAGCTTTCTTTGGTGTTGATTTCAACAAATCCTTTATTGTGTGAAGTACAAGGGATACTAAGCACAAAATTAACATAATCTAAGCAGAATGTCTGAGAAGCAAAGAGTGACTCTTATATTTGAAGGACTTATTACAAGAAAGGTAAATACCAATCCTCCTAGACTGTTTTAGCTAAATTGCATAAATCTCTACTACAAATAATTACAGTCTTTAATGTAACAATGTAATGTAATAATGTATCTAACCTATAAATATCTCAGTCTTAATTGACTTTACTAGCCCAGCACCACAAGAAGTAAGTGTGCCTAGCATTCTTCAAAAAAGTCTTAGGAGCCAGTTAACATGTACCTACTTTATTTGTAGTAACTCTCCAGGAAGCAGAAAAGAAACGTGTGTGTGTGTGTGTGTGTGTGTGTGTGTGTGTGTGTGTGTGTGTGTGTGTGTGTGTATGCATGCAGATTGGAGTAAAATTCAGAAGAAACAACTCCAATGCTTACATCAAATAAAAATTTTTTAAAATATAAACACATGCTTGGAACCCAGAAGACTCAGAAGGTTTTCTGGGCAACTAACACAATCATGGTACAGTGAAGAGCAATGCATATGGAGTCAAGAGTCAAGGTTCTGAAACTCAACTCTAATATTTATTAGCTGTTTTTATTTTTTTTATTGATTTATTTTTATTTTATTAATTTTATTACTATCATGGCAAGTCACTCAACCCCACTGTGCCTCAGTTTCCTCAACTGTAATAGTGTATGTATTTCCTTACCTAACAAGGTTATTGTAAAAAAGTGCCTTGTAAAACTCAAAAAGCTACATGTGGCTATATCGTATTGTCTCATTATTTAACCCATGAAGTATCCAAAGTACAATACTCTACCACCTAATGTGTAATAATATTTCTACAGAATTGCTATACAACATTCCAATTTAGGATGCTAGTAATACCCTTTCTCTGACCCCAACATCCATACTATAAGATCTGGAACTTTCCTTCCCCTCTCCTCCATCACCTGTGGAAATAAGAAAAAAGGAGAAGGGAGAGTAAAATTTCTGGAACATGGAGCAGCCAGATAGCACAGTGGATAAAGCTCTGGCCTTGGAGTCTCAAGGACCTGAGTTCAAATCTGGCCTCAGACACATGACACTTACTAGCTGTGTGACTCTAGGCAAGTCACTTGACCCCGATTGCTTTACCCCCCCCAAAAAAAAAAGATTTCTGGAGCATAAGGAGTAGGAACCAAGGTCTACAGGAATTAAGGACCTGTGAGTTTCAAAGTCATCCTGCTGGTATAGATCCATGAGACCCCTCTTAGTCCTGGACGGCTCCAGGTTAATGACATTTTTCGGGGGGGGAGGGGGTTGTAAAAACGGTAATGCTTACTTGCCTTTCTTCTACCATCACCAGTGACTTCTACGAGGTTTTGCTTACAGATGTGCAGTCATTCTCTTTTGTGTTTGTATCTTGGGCAGGTCTATCACTACAATAGCTCTTTATTTGGGGAGTCTTTTTTTGATAATTCTGTCTTCCAAATCACTTCCCAATTTGGGACTTTGTGTTGGGGCCAGACTCTACACAAGGAATCTCTGGGCCTTGTCTGGTCCTAATTTGTACAATAAGTTATTATATTATTATAATTATATATATAATTAATTATAATTATATTATCCTATAGTACGTAAGACATAAAATAATTATATATGATATAATTATAGTATATAATATAACAAATACATTTTAATGCAAGATTTAAAGGCATTAAATGTCTTATTTTGTTTTGTTTTGGAGAGGCAATTGGGGTTAAGTGACTTGCCCAGGGTCACATAGCTACTAAGTGTCAAGTGTCTGATCTGAGACTGCATATGAATTCAGGTCCTCCTGACTCCAGGGCTGGTACTCTATTCACTGAGCCACCTAGCTGCCCCAAAGGCATTAAATGTCAAAGAAGATGCTTACTATCCTCTCAAAGGTAGATAACATCTGAAGGGACCCTGATATTGGGAAAGATTGAAGGCAAAAGGCAAAGGAGACAGCAGAGGATGAATAGATAGTATCATGGAAGTAATGAACATGACCTTGGACAGATTTTGGGAGATAGTGGAGGATGGAATCTAGAGCACTATGGTACTTGGAATCACGAAGAGACAGACACGACCAAATAACTGAACAACAACAAAGCCAAGAATTTCAATATAAAGAATATGAGTAAAGCAAGATGGTGAATCCCCCTAAGATGATGGACTAAAATGAGGTGAGTGGCAGTGTAAGTTAAAAAGGTGAGTCCATCTGGGATACAAAATAAAGACAAGGCAAGTCACAAAGCATTTATTAAGCATCTATTATGTGCCAGGCACTGTGCTATGCTCTCAGGGAGCTCACAGTCCAAGGGCAAGACAATATACAAAAAACCCACATAATACAGACAGAAACAAAATATAGATAGAATTACATTGGAGAAATCTCAGGGGGAAAGCACTGATATGAATAAAGATTGAGAAAGACCAACAGTATTCCTAGACTAAAACAAATGCAGATGTTTGTACGACTGGAATGGAGAAGACACCAACAAAAAGTATGAATCTATGATTCTGTAATCAAGTAGTCCAGAAATGGTTACTCAGAAGTGTTAAAGCAATCCCTTCTGCCAATCACACAGCAAAAGGAAAGTCAAGCTTAACTACTTAGATATGAAAAACATTCAGCTCTTTATCATGACTAGAACACGGCACATTCTGATTAGTATAATATTTGTATTCACAATTATTATATATACAATACCCAAACAACTACAAATTTTCAACTGGAATCCTGGTTGGAGTAGGATGGGAGACACAAAAATATTGTTATGTTCAGTATAGCTCAAGATTTAGAAGGCATTGCCCTTCCTTGGAATCATTATTATGAATATATATAATCCCTCAGCCAAAGCTGAGAAGTTTTGGTTAACAGAGTTCTGATTAACTTTAAGTCATAAAAAGGGCTGGGGTTGGGGGTAGGGGTGGAGGTTGTGGGGAGGGAAAACACCACTCTTGTGAGAATTCAATTCATTTCCATCCCAAACTTACCACTGAGATATTTTCTTTGGTACTGTTGGAACTCTGGTCACCATTATGCCGTGTAAACTGGGAGTCCTGTGACTGAGGAACATGCGACATTTCTGCCTTGCTTTTGAATTCTAACATCAGTATGGTGGGGGGTAAAATGATACTTATGATGACCTTTAAAAAAAAAAAGCAGAAAAACTGATAAAACACCAAAATAGCATTATAGGTGGCATAGTAGCTTGAGCACTGGGATTTGATTCAGGAAGATCTGAGTTCAAGTTATGTTATATTAGTTATGTGACCCTGTTCAAGTCACAGTCATTCTGGGCCTCATCTATTAAATGGGGATATATAAGGATCAAAAAAATAATATATGTAAGGTATTTTTCAAACCTTAAATCACTACATAAATGCTAGTTATCTTTAGCTCACATTTCTACAGCACTTTCCAATTTACAAACACACAACTGCTCCCTCTAAGTAAGGTAGTGCAAATGTTATCTCTGATTTATAGATGGGGAAACTGAGGCTCATCAAGGCCACATAACTTATCCAAGATCACACTGTTACTAAATGGACTTTTAAAAAGATTTTTTTCTTTTCGTCTTTTACAAGATAGTATTATTTCATTTATGAATTTTACATTGTTTGGAAAACCCCAAAATCAATGCCCTTTCTATCATCAGAACTAAAACCAGATTACTTCTGAAACTTGCCCCATTGAGGAGCATCTTTCTTTGCCTTGTAGGTCAAAGTGCTTACGATGCCTGAGAAACAAGATCAAAGAAAAAGGAACTCCCTGGCCTGGCCTAGAAGCAAAGTCTTCCAATTCTAAACACAGGACCCTTTCTAAAGTAATACATGGCTTCCATTACAATCTCTAATACCATTATGAACATATAGTACAAAATGTCATCCAGATCATTGTTTTTTTCTGATAGCAGCACCAAGGGATGTGTGCAATTAATCAATCAATCAATATTTATTAAGTGGCTACTATGTGTCAGGTACTATGCTAAGTACTAGGGATACAAAAAAGAGGCAAAAGACAGTCTGTGCCCACAAGGAGCTTACAATCTAATGGATTTGTTGAAGAAAGGCATGGTTTTCTTCCATGACTTTGACCCCAAATATCCTTTGACCTACCTAAATGAATTAATACCCATGAATTTCTCTAAAGCTTTCTAAAAACTATTATTTTCAAACTGTATCATTTAGCATATGACAAAACTCAGGGTAAAAACTTACACAGTTATTCTGGAATTTAGTGGAGAAAAAAATAAAGCAAAACATAAGCTTCTTGAGGACAGGAACTGCTTTTATTTTTTCTTTGTCTCCTAAGAACCTAGGATCTTTTTTCCTGACTAGGATCTGTAATTTCAAGGATATGGGCAATTATCAGTAAGGAAATTTCTTCTCCCAATGCAGACTTGCAACCTATAGTTTAGTTCCCTGGAGCACTAGAAGGTGAAATGACTTACTTTACAGGACGACACAGGCAATATATGTCAGAGATAGGACTTGAACCCAGATTGTCCTAACTCAGAGGTCACCTTTATATCCACTACAATCCAAAACCTTTTACCTTCCCACAGAGTAGATGCAAAATACTTTTTGAATGAAGGGTAATCTTATTCATACCCTGTATACTGTATTAGCTTATAGCTAAATCTCACTCTCAATCTTCATCTTTCAAGGAGTAAGATTTTTTTTTCCAGTCTGACTTTCCATGCAAGAATTTCTCTAATTTTGCTACTTTTGAGAGTTAGGGTTGTTATTTTTGGTTTGCTTTTTTTTTTTTAATGTAGAGTATAGAACAAGGTGTAATATTCTCCCTATTGACATATTATGGTTTTATGTAGAGGAGGATTACATGTTTCTGTTTTGGTTTATCCTCTTCCTAATGCTGTGTTGGCCTTTGGGGTCACAGATGGTCGCTGGGCAGTGTCTTCAGAGCACAGTCTACGATAACTCCAAAACCCAATTACCAGGACTAGTTCTGATCCTTTCACCTCATCACTATGATAGGATTGTTGTTGTGATTGTTGTCCATCCTTCATTCTCAAAAAGGATCAATGACATCATGATAATGATGTCTTGACTTGCACATGAATTGTATTTGAGTGAGGTAAAGCTGGGCAAAGTCACGTCAACCTCACTGCCTCCTCCAGAGTAATCAGAGACCAGTGGCAAGACAAAGGTCAAGACGACTGGTGATCCCATTTGGGTGATTCAGATTTAAAGGACTTCCTTAAACACAATACCTCATCTTTTATTTGTGCCTGTGCAGGGGCTATACCTCAGGCCTGGAAAGCCATGCCTACTCACCTCCACCTCTGGGTTTTCTGGATTTCTGTCAAATCTCAGCTCTAGTCCCATCTTCTTCAGAACACCATCCCCCATCCTCCCAGCTAAACCTAAATCATTCTGGTTTTCACTGAATGGCCAATAATAATAATAATAAGCCTAGTCCAAACCTCTGAGGCTCACTGTTTTTTGGCACAGAATAAGTGTAAATAGCAATTGGTTTCTTTTCAGGCCAGAAACTCTAAGGGTCTCCCCTTCCTGACTGACATCTTTGGGACTGTAAATTGGACCATATTTTGTCTCAATTCTTACCTAGCCCCTAGTCATTGAGTGGGTGTGGCTTCGGACAAACTAAGAACTGGGAAAGACCTTAATTTAGAAAGGCCAAGGCCACCCACTTCATCCTGGGCCATCCCCACTCATCTTGACCTTTGTCTTGCTACTGGATTCTGATGATATGGATTATTTTTTATCTAAACATCTTCCTCTATTTTCTTAGAATTAAGCTCATTTTTAAGATCTTTCTGAAATTTGTCCTCATTAGCTAAGAATTTTACTACCCAAGAGAACTTAATGCTCTTTCCAAACTCAGATTCAACACACACAGAGTCCAACCACTAATGAATCAGAAAATAAGTTATTTATTTGACTAGTTAAAATACTGGCTAGTAAAAAGTATAGTTCAATGCACTTCAGCTGCCTCCACAGCTTTAGCTATGATATAGCAACTAGTTGATGCAGTAAAGTCAGAAAGAACTAAGTTCAAAACCAGTCTCTGACATTTCCTGGCTGTGTGACCTTGGGCTAGTCACTTAACTTTTGTTTGTCTCCATTTTCTCACCTGTAAAATGAGAGTAACAATATCATCGGCCTCCCAGGATTGTTTTGAGAATCCAATGAGATAACATTTTATAAAGTAATTTGAAGTCTTACAGCACTATATAAATTATATCAATTATTATTGTTATCATGCCAAACTAATAACCCTGGCTCACTGTGTGATGACATTTACTGTCAGCTTCTAACAACAAAAGGAAACAAGGCAGACCTGTATCGAGGCAGCAGGCGGCACAGAAGATAGTGTTAGACTTTGTTAGAGAAATACAGGTATGAATCCCATTTCAGACACTTACTTAGCTGTGTGATCCAGGGTAAGTCACTTATCTTAGCCTCAGTTTCCTCATCTGCAAAATGGGGATGATAGCACCTAACTCACAAGACTGTTGTGAAGATAAAATGAGATAATATTTAAAGGATTTTGTTAACCTTAAAGTGCTATAAAAATGCTAGCTATCTGATGATGATGATGATGATGACAAAGAAGAAATTAGGGAAACAGGAAGAGAAGAGAAAATAAAGGAAGGGGAGGAAAGAGTGTTGTGTAGATTATAAAGGTTGTTATTTGTCTTTTTCACTGAACTCAATAACAAATGTTTATTAATTTCAACCATGCAATAAAGCTCAAGGCCAGGGTGGAAAATTGAAGGCCAACTGTAATTAAGACTTGGTTAAATTATCCTTAAAAATTCCAGGCTATAATTGCCTTGAGTTATAGTGGGCTGGGATGTTGGAGATGATCAGTTGGGTGAAAAGGTGAGGCTTTGGACAATGTAATATATTCATGCAAAGCAAAATATAGTATAATTAGTGAGTAGAAAATATTGTAAATTTCATTTTGTTTTCTGTTGTTTAGCTCCCAGGGAGGCTTGGCAGGTTGGCAAAACAAACAAATAAACAAAACGTAAGATCAGGATTAAGGTAGCGTCTATTAAAAAAAAAAACTTAACCATCATTTGCACAGTGATTGTGCATTTTCATAGTGATTTTACATCTAACTTTTGACCTTCAAACATCCCTCGAGGAATATAGGACACGGCATTTTAGAGATGAGAAAACCCAAGAAACAGACTGAATAATGTAGGGAAAGAGGCAGGGAATTAAAAAAAAATGTACTGAAATGAGGTCCTAACTTACTACTTACTTACAAAGCTATGTATTAGCTGTGACCTTATTTGAAACATCTAGCCTTCTTGAGCCTCAGTTTCTTTTCCTGTAAAATGGGGATAGCATCGGAAATACCTACATCCATGGGTTGTGTTATAAAGATCAAATGAGATCACATACATGAAAATACTTTGAGATGTAAGTAACATAATTAAGGTATTATTATTATTATTATTATTTTCACAGGGATACAAAATTACCTTTATTGATGAGTTTTTTGTCATTTTCAGGCATCCCATCCACATATCAGTCAGTAACATCTGAGTACAAGTGTGACAAACAAAAGGTCGTAGACCCACAGACACAGCCAGTTTCAAGCAAGTGGAATTACTCCAGTTTTTCAGTTCATAGGTCAACAGCTTCATGGCCATTCTCTCATTCTTCTTAAATGCTTTTTCCAATATATCCAGAGCAAGCTGACCAAACTCTCTATTTCGCAAGAACAATATGGAAAAACATGAATCAGAGTCCTAAAATGAGTTAAAGATTTAGAAAGACTTAAAGGTCAGTTTTATTGGGTTTAAAGAGTTTGCCAAAGGAAATTTAAAAGCCTTTAGATAGGTGAGAGATTATTACACAGGGGATAATGACTAGCTATTCTCCATATAGGACAAAATGAAAAAAAATTTAAGCTATAGCTTAAGAAATGTAGTTTTAGCTGAGGTTACCTAACCTTTTCAAAGGAATGAGCTTTTTTTTCTTATTTCTCTGAATACTGAGACTGATGATTAAGTTCATGAGCAAGAAAAAGGAAAAGATGGAGAGATGCTTATGGCCCTACGCTCTTCCACAAATGCTCATGCTGGCCCACAGGGATGGGAACTGGTAGCAGCTCCTTCCCCTTGACCAACCTAGTAAGGACCCATGAGAAATCAAAGAAAGCTGCCCTCAACAAAAAAGACTCCTAAACACTGGGAACAAATTACAAAGGAAAGTTGTAGAATCACTTTCCATTAAGGCATTTCAAAATTTAATAAATTATTATCTGTTTGAAATAGTTATCATGGTCCCACATAAAGGTAGGGAGATAAGCTAGTATACCTCCTCAGCCCTAGGATTTTGTGTTTTTATCTATAAATGCCATTGTTCTTTGTATACAGATGCTCTTCCATCTCAGAAACTTTTAGCATATATTGAGAATGACAATACATTTGTTTCCATTGAGGACAGTTTGTTTTCTCCATCAGGTCTCCTTTTTACTTCATCACAACAACCTGAAGATATGGCAACAAGGATCATAAAACAAAGAGCTTATCTTTTCCCTCACACATCACACCAACATTATCCTCCAACCTTTTGTATAATGTAATTTATTTATTTTTCTCACACCTATGGTTTCCCCATATGAAGAATGATTGCTTCTAATTTGGAATTACAAAGTTGTTTTGAGTTAAAGGGATTTTGAGAGGTCATCTAGTATAGGACCCTAATTTTAAATAAGAAAATTAAGGCCCACAGAGCTTCAGTGACCAGGCTAAGTCACATAGCTACTTAGTGGCAAAGTCTAGATTTTGACTCCAAATTCTGCGCTCTTTCCACTGACCCATATTGCCTCTTCATTGGTAGAATGAGCCAAAACATACTACCTTGGGATATTTGAAGACCCTGATAATAACAAAAAGGTTAAAAAAATACATAACAGTATGAATGCTTATTTTTGGAGTTTGAAGTTGAAAGACAGAAAAAAATGTACTAAGTATTGTCAAAGTTTACTATAAGGTGAAGAGAGACCTCTTACTTTGAGTAATTGTTTAATTCTTCTGAGGTTCCATCCAGTATGTTGCTCTCCTCGGCTTCCTGTGCCATTGCCTGGTACAGTTTGCAGGCAACCACTGCCTTAACCATGGCCTCCTCTCCATGCTGCCAGAAGAACATGGCCATCTTCTGTCTTTGCATCAACACTGCCCAAACCAGCAAGTCATTATAAGGGTAAATAAAGCCAGCAGAATCTGGGTCTTCTGGTAAATTTTGCCCTTCCTTTGACTTCTTTCTTGTTTTATGAAGGCTTACTGACTTGTCCTGTTGGTAGGCAAACTATGAATGAGTTCCTGCCTATTTGGATTCACATGATGTTTGCAGTATAGAGCTCTGAACTGATGATATTCCTGGGTTTGGTAAAGAGAAACTAAAAAAGCAGAGCATCACAGTGCCTCAGGAAAGTAATGACCACCATTTAAAACTGGTAAATCAGCCTGTTCCGTTTTCTATGAAATGCATCGAGATTGGGATGTGAAATAAATCTACTATCCACCCATGCTATTTCCAAGTATTCATGGTAGCAAACCAAAATGATATCATATTACAGAGGTAAAAATCACAGTCTCCAAATACCATCTCTGTCAACAATTCCAACATTTTCTCCTACAAAAACTTCACCAAAGTTGCTAACCACATCCAATCCAATAACTGGAGCTTCCTGTCTATCCTCTTACTCTGCTTACTTTTTTTTTTTTGCCTTCTTCCTAATTTAGGTGATATAGATCAGGGAAACAATCTAAACATAGTTTCTTTAAGTAGTTGGGGATTGATGAAAAAATAAGAGGTATGGGGTTAGATAGGCCATCAATAAGAATAATAAAATCTCCAATGATGATGTTAGGAGTGTTACTGAAACTTCTCTTATTGAGGCCACCTTATAAGGCTCTGAAAATTTTCCTCATTTATTAAAAACACAGGAGTAGAGAAAAGATACTAAGTGGGAGGGAGGATGGAATGGATAATATACAAACTAGAGTCTCATCAACCACTGAATAAGATTTGACTGTATTCAATAGCCAAAACATCAAGGAGAACTGAAAAAACACAAAATACTTTTCTACTCTCTGAAATTTCATTGAGACATACAGAAAAATGTCTTTGTACTGCTTCCTAAGAAAGAAAATCTTATAAATGATATTAAAGATTAACAACAAATTCACTTTATTCCTCAGTGTTGAAATTACGGCAAAAATTCTAAATAGTTTCTTTCCTTTCCTTCAATTCAATGGAAATTATGCTAATCCACAGTGATAAGCAATAAATTTCTTTTTTCTTCCCTAGAGGTAACTTTTAACAAAAAGCATTTTTAACTACAGAAATACGAAAGGTTCTTTCAGCTCAAGGCTAAGAGCCAAAATACATAGATAAATAGATAGACAGACCGACAGACAGATAGATAGACAGACAGACAGATAGATAAATAGACAGATAGATAATAGATAGATGGATAGACAGAAGACAGAGAGAGAATATCTCCAAACTGGGTTGACCCCTAGAAGTAAAGATTGGACTAATGAAGACAGCCCAAAACAAATCATCTTGCATATGCTCTTGCCCTCAATACTTTTATAAGGGGGAAATCAAGTTAAAAGTTAACATTCAGGGAAGGCTTAAAGAGGACAATAAGTCAAAACCTAAGGTTTGTGGGTAAGAGGAGGGCCTCCCTCCTCAACTGCCTTTGGAGAGGAGGCTATCCTAGGCTGACAATGAATAAAAACCTCAGTGGGGGTTGCGTTTTGTTTTGGTTTTGTTGGGGTTTTTTCAGGAGTAGTTAATGAACTTCCTCCTTGAGTCACTCTTGAGTCAACAGAAAGAGTTAGGAGGGTAAGTAACCAAAGGGAAAAGTAACCAAAGTATAGGTTAAGACAATGTTATGAAAGGTTATGTTTCTGTGGGCACCAACAAGACTTTCCTTACTGTTAAAATAAGGGAAAAAGCACAGTATAGCTTCTGAATCATGTGTCAATTAACCAATCAATCTGCAAGCATTTATTAAGCTCCTGCTGTATGCCAAGGGCTTGCTAGATTCTGCAGAAACAAACCCCAAAATGAAGCATTCCTTCAACTGTTACTTTCCATCAGGAAGACAATATGTAGACACAAAATATTTGCCAAATAAATGGTGTATATGAGGAAGTCCTGATTGCTGGGAGGGTCAAGAAAGGGCTCATTTAGATGACAATTGAGCTAAACTCTGAGGGAAGCTAAAGAGGAGGTAAGGAAGGAGACAGCACATTCCAAGTTCAGAGGCACCAAGATAAGAAATGAAATGTCATGTGTGAAGGACATCAAGGAAATCCATTTGGCTGCGCCATCACAGAGCATGTGAAGCCAGGAAAGGAAGAGACCAGTAATGCCATCTGGAAAGATAGGCTGGAGACAGACTGAGAAGGGCTTTAAATGCCAAACAAAAGAGTCTACATGTGATTCTAGAGGCAAGAGAGAATGATTGGAGTTTAGTGAGGAGGGTAGTCACTTGCACTTTAGGACTATCACAGTTACATGCAAAACTTGTGAACATACCTAACTTTCTCCTACTCTGAATCCGAAAATTGGATCATTTGGTAAAGGTGATTTTTTTGTTCAATTAAGAATTTCCTGAACAAAATCTGAGTGCCAGCAAAAAACTTATTGTCCTCTCGCCCTATTAGATTTTTAAGCCCCTTGAGGGCAGAGACTGTCTAGTACCTCCCTTTGTATCCTTGGCACAGTGCCAGTAATATAATAGATACTTAATAAATGTTTATCAATTGATTTTTTTTAAGGTACAAGCTTGATCATGTCACTCCTTTACTTAGTAAAGTCCAATGGCTCCTTGTTACCTTTAAAGTCAAATAAAAATGCTTGAGGTTAGGCATTTAAAGCACTTCAGAACTTCAACCTTTCCTATTTTTCCAGTCTCCTTATATCCCACTCCCCCCTACATACTTTGTAATCCAATAGCTGCTTTCTTGTTCCTAGCAGGACACTTTTTCTTTGGCTGTGCCCCATACCTGGAATTCCCACTGTCTACTAGATTCCCTGGCTTCCTTCAAGAATCATTTCAAATCCCACCTTCTGCAGGAAGCTTTTCCCTCTCTCTCCCCCTCCCCCTACTGCAAATTCCTTCCTTCTGACATTACCTACCATTTACCGCAAATATGTAGATATAAATATAGATAAAGATATGGATATAGGTTGATAGTTGCTTCCATGTTGTCTTCCTTATTACAGTGTGAACTCCTTGAGGGAAGGGACTAGGTTTTTGCCTTCAAATCCTCAGTTCTTAGCACAGTGCCTGGCATACAGCAAGTGCTTAATAAATGTTTGCTGACTGACTGATTTTGTAGAACTTTTTTTTGTCTTTCTTAATTACAAAAGATGACACTTTGGGAGGAGATGAAGCAGGGATACAGTAGGAAATGTAGGTAACATAAAAACAAAATATATAAATATGTATATTATTTAAAGATGATACCTTGAGTTTGTACGGTTGTGCTGTTCTAATGAACTGGGAATGCAAAGCATTTTCAGCAGATCCACCCCAGCTTCCTGAAAGAACTGAATGACTGATCCGTCGAAGGGAAGGATGAGAAAAGTTCTGGACAAGGCTGCTCACTCTCTAATTATTGTGTTCAGTTAGCCATGATGGTTGTTGTTGTTGTTTGGAAAGACAAAACAAGGAAAGGGTTGAGATAAAAGTGTTGCCAATAAGTATTTCATTTCTGGATTATCCTAGAAATTGAATACCATCTAGATGAAGTTCCATCCTGTAAACCAGTGACTGGCTCACTTTCTCATCCATGATTAATATTGAATTTCCCCAGAGCTGAATGTACCTGGCAGAACAAAACATTATCCACTTCTTAAGAAACCACAAAGTTCTTTCTTTAAAATCCCAGGAAATAATTCCACTCTTATGCCCTCTTACATATTCTATGCCTTCTCTCAATGTGGAAACTCACATTAACATCAATGGAAGTTCCATAGCTGGAACAATTTCAGAAAATGTCATCAAGATTCAAAGTTCTGATAAGAGAAAAATCCTGTGCACAAGCAGCTCCAAGGTTAAGTTAGAATGGTACTGGTATTTCTCCAGGGGTTATACAGCGTCACCATTAAAATCTAGATGCAGGAACCCTATGGCAACTTCATTCAGCTTCAGTATGTGAGGGCTGGGGGTTGTTTGGTTTGGTTTTTCATTAACAAGAAAAGCAAAAATAAAATTGCGTCAAAGTGTACAAAATAAAAATACTTAACATTCTAAATCACTTGCCATTTTGTTCATTTTCATGAAGGTTTATGCTTTGCATTTTTTTAATTAGACACCAAGTATTATAGATCAAGGAAGAAAAGGATAATATAACATAGCTTGCACAGTTCAGTGATTACGTGCAATAATAATTCATTGAAATCCACATTCCTTGACTGCATGAAAAATTTAACATAAGCAATTTCAGTGGCCTATAGTATAGTATAGCAGAAAGAGTACTCAGTAAAAAGTCTTAAGATCACAGGTCTAAAACTGAAAGGCAGTTAGTCTAATCCCTTCATTTTGCAAATGAGAAAACTGTGGCCCAGTAAGGCTAAGTGACTCAAGTTTCGATCCTTTCTGTCATACCTGCTAGTGTGGGACACTGGACAAGTTATTTAATCTCTCTGGGCCTCAGTGTCTCATCTTTTAAATGAAGGGATTAGACTCTTCTCATGGCTCCAATTTACCAATTGGGACCCCAAACATAATCCATTAGGACAATCATCATTATCCCAGTTTATAAGCAATAGACAAGATCCAAAAATCTTTGAAGGAAAATCTGGGATCTAGTCCTAATTCTGGTATTTCCCATGTGACCTTGAGCAAGTCTCTTCTTTCTTGGCCTTAGGTTTTCAATGTGTAAAATAAGGAATTTGAATTAGATGCTCTCTAGGGTTTTTTCCAACCTTATTATTCCCTGACTCTTAGGTTTTGTTGCTAGTTCAGTGATAGCAATAAGTACAACCACATCTCAGTTCCAGTTCTGACTAGATTCTCCCATGTCTAGAACAGAGACACAGGTGAACTTGCCCTGGAAGGCATAAGCATGCATAGGAAAATATATCAAACATCACTTTCCTCTGCCAATCTCCACCCTTTAATGAGCTGGAAAGATCCTACAAGGCTAACTCCCTAAGGCTCACACCATGACCAAGGTTCTCTTTATTCCATAATACTGCTCCTAGCAAACTCAAGGTAATAGCTTTTGTTTTGTTTTGTTTCTGTTAATGACTGAAGTGGGGTTGTGAAAGTTTGAGTCAAATATAACTGGCAATAATGTATACTACTGCTCCTGGAAGTTTAATAATGAAGGGGAGGAGAGAAACAGAATGGTAGCTTGGGAGGAATCAAGAAAAGCATGTTTTTAGTACAGAGAGACTTGTGTGTGTTAATAAACACAAGGGAAAGAGCCAGATGAGAGAGCAAGAGACAGAGACAGACAAAAACAGAGAAAGAGACAGAGAAGCAAAGACAAAGAGAAGAGGAGTAAGGGGACTGGTTAATGAGGCAGACTTTCAAAAGAGATGAGAGAGGATGAGATGAAGGAAATGAGGGAAGGGTCAGCCTCGGCAAAGTGGAAAACCATCTAATGTTCTAGGACCAGATGAATGGAGACCGAGAAGAGGATAGATGAAGACAAAGAGGTGCATGATGGGAGGGAGATGAGGAGGGAGATCTTATAACAGACAGCTTCAATCTTCTTATTAAAGCAAGACATAAAAATATCTGTGGAAAAATCGAGGCAGAACTGGGGGCCTCAAGGAGTGAGAAAAAGGTTTGGAACAACTCCTATGAGGTATGTGAAAGGGAAGCGGAGACAATTTTTTAAAATTTCATTCAGCAGTGAAGGTCCCACTAAGATTAAATGTAATGCCTCTAGCAAAGGTGGTTCAAAGAGTATTCCCTGACAGTTTGGCAATGACACTTTGGAGTCAGGAAGACCTGAATTAAAATCTGGCCTCAGACATTTCCTGCTTATGTGACCCTGAGTAAGTCACTTAACTCTGTTTGCCTCAGTTTCCTCATCTGTAAAATGAGCTGGAGAGAAAATGCCCTAACCACTCCAGTATCTTTGCCAAGAAAACTCCAATACGGGGTCATAAAGAATCAGACATGACTGAAACAATTGAACAACAAGCCAGAGGACCAGGGATTTAAGCGAAGAGGACTTCATATTATTGAAATTTCTTACCATAGAGGAGAGTATGAGGAAAGAAGTGAAATCAGAAGCACACTGATAAACTAGGAAAACTATAAGGCACGTTGGGAATAAAAGTCAAATGAAGATGAAATTTGGTTTCTGTAATAGTGAGGCGATGGGCTAGGAATAGATTGTGATAAGAGAGGGGATTTCAGAGTTGACAGTCTTGGAGGTGGAAGAGTTTGGGGCAATAACCACCCCTGTAGATAGCTGAGATAAAGTGGGGACAGAAGTCACAGGAGTCAAGAAGGTAGAAGAACTGAAAGGTCAGCCAGAAGAATTTTCAACAGGAAGAAATAGTATGATGTAATGGAAAATGTACTGATCCTGGAGTCCCAAGGCTCTGTTCATAATCCACTTCGGCATGACCCTTGCAACACTGAGGAAATAACCTAACTTCCTTGGCCAGACCTCAGTGTCTTCATCTATAAAATGGCCTCCAAGGACATTGACCTTATTTATGGGCAGTGTCACCAAAGGAATGTCAAAGGCATTACTCAGACTTACTTCATTGACATTACCTTTTGTTTCCCATAGAGGTTATTGTACAGGGCTCTGAAAGTCTTCCTTGTGTAGCTGCTCCGATATGCTCCACCAATTAGGTACTCTATCACTAATCCAATATCAATCAGTGTGATTCTGTAGTCTGAAGGAGTATGGCTCTATAATGCAAAGGTTAAAGCACATCAATATATATTCTCCCCTCTCTTCATTCTCTTTATATTTCCTCCTCTGTTCTACTGTTGTATTATAAAGCAAGTGAACTACAGCAGTGAATCATCCTATTCAATCACTTTTAGGATAGATTGTGCATTGATCAAGTAACCTGAATATGTACTGAATTACATGTTTGCTTGCTTTTTAAGATAGGCAAGGATATATATATATAATATATATATATATATATAATGTATGTGTGTGTGTGTGTATGTATGTATTCACTCCCAATATGGTTCCTCTGGATGCCTTTGTTATAATAATTAAATTGTGAATAATAAAATTCAAGTATCTGCCCCCATATTCCACTCTGCATCAGTGCATATAAGTCCTCCCAGGTTTCTCTAATTTTGTCTTTTTTGCTGTTTCTCACAAAACAATATTTCATTATATTTATATACCATAATTTGTTTAGCCATTCCCAACTGATGGAGACTCCCATAGTTGCCATTACAAAAAGAGCTGCTACAAATATTTTTGTATATAAAAGATTAGGAAATCATTTTTATGGTCATTATTGAATGCAATGCTTTTCTTGTTTAGAACAACAAATCAATCTCATCCTGATAACTTTTATTGGTTTCTGGCTCCAATGATTAGTGAAAAAAAAATCCAGAATAATCCATAGGGTTCAATCATATGCACTTATTGTGGCAAATCCTCTGTTCTCTGGAGTAACACATTTTTTTTTAAACCAGTGGGTGTTTGACTCACCCACTAGAGTTAGATGATCAGTTCTGATGAAGTTGGAGATTATCCAATATCATATGGAAATAGGGAAAATATAATAGTAAGCAAGTGACAAAAATGCATGAAGATAATCAGTGAATTTTACAATCCTGTTTTGGGTCAATTTTGGGGCCCCTTGATTCTATCATCAAACAGGATTCTTATACTCTATACACAGAACCTGTACTCTCTAGAGTACAGAGCAAATGATAGTTACAATTGTGCAATATTGCTTGACTCCTTTGACTGAGATGTCAATAGATTTTTAGCCCAGAATAAAAAAGAGAAGTAAATAAATACATATTCTGAAATCTCTGAAATAAAGAAATGTGAAGAAAGTAAAACAAGAAAGCCAATGCATATTGGGGTTTGACACTTCTCTGTTGTGCCATAGGAACACAAAGTAGGAACACATAGAAAAATATTGGAGCCTCAAACTTTTACGTAAATTAATGTGGCCATAGCTGAAATAACTAGACCATTAGCAACTGATGACCAAATTAAAGGGTCAGGCTCACATATACTGAAAGCTATCAGAAGATACCGACAATTTCCGTCACATGGCTAGATGCAGTTATGCCTCTTTTTTCATTGTACAGTAGTTTGTTTTAATGGCCGCTTTCATCTTTGTATCTTCAGCATTTGGCGCAGTGGCTGGGACACAGTAAGTGCTTTTAAAATGCTTGCTAATTAATTTGCAATTTGCCACACCTTTATTTCATACTGGAGTCCATACTGAAGCTACATATTGCTGATTATCTCAATACACTACCAAAAATATATCTTTGCCTTCTTTTCTCTTTCTGTTACATAAACATCTTGTCCTTGATTAGAAATGTTAACATTATAACTTTGTAGCCTGAAATAACTGCTTAAAATTCTTGAAAAGCCCTTTGACAAGATATATAAACCTGTGACAAATGGGGGTACTTGGCTAATAAGAGAAAATTCATACCAGTCAATAAATTAGCCAAGTAAATTACTTGGCAAATTAATCGTTTTTACCAATAAATCCGATCACTAAGCCTAATACTGAATGATTCAGTTTACTTGCTGTGACAGTACTGAATTAAAAAATTCTGCTTTCAAATTGTCATTTATCTTTAATAAAATAGGAAAAAAAGGATACAGAGATCTAAGTGTGGCCACGGAAATAAATTCTAAGTAAAATACACCTACATTGAATAAGACATAAGGCAATCTACTTTTGTGATGCATGATGACTGAAAGGAATATAAAAAGTTTTCATTGATCTTTCCCACTTTCTTTTTACCTCTGTGTACTAGGAACAAAAGATTATGTTTTTCTCCCCTAACAGTCTTAAACATTACTTGCCTGCTTTATTCATTTCTCTGGTATTTCATGTAACAAAGACCTAGTATACTTACTGGAAGAATTGAAGCAACACCATTGCAATATAACAGAGCCAAAAAATGTGTCCATAAGCAAATATGTATAGTACCGACACCCCTTTTTTCCAGTAATTCTCCAAACTATAATCCTTTACAAATCCCTTTCACCACGGAACACAAAAAAAATCTAGTAGAGGTTTCCATCAACATATTTGACCTCAGAAAGATAATTTTCATAGAGCAAGAGATGGGGGGGGAAGAGTATTAAACAATGATCTATAAAAAAAGAAGGATAATAATTACATATTTACAAAGGCACCCCTAATTTGTTATTGTAAATAAAATTAGAAGTTCAGGGTACAAAGGAAGGAAATGAGTGCTAAAAAAGCATAAAAGCAATAAAGATTAAGTAAATAATGGGTTCAACTATTAAAAAGTAAATGAAAAAACAAATTTAGTTTGTCTCTATGTCTTTCTTCCAAAGTCCCTTTAAAAAAATGAAAACATCATGTATAAAATAATCTGTACAAAGTATACATAACTTTGCATTTACTGATGATTGCCACCATGGTATGTTAGAAAGCATGCTAGATCTGGGATAAGGGGGCATAGGGTTTAAACCTTGACCCTTGGCCAAGCACTGAACCTCTCTCCACAACTCAGATTCCTCATCAATCACATGAATGAGTGACTAGAACCCTAAGATCTTTTCCAGCTCTAAAGCTTGTGAACCCTGCATCATACTAAGAAATTTTCTGCATTTCTCGGGCCTTGGAGAACATCCGGTTACCTGTTTTACATCACGAACAAGATGATGCAAGAGCATGTTGCTTGGTCCTTGTTTCTGCAATGATGAAGAAGAAGAATTAAAAATCAGTACACCTTAAATTAATATGCAATAAGAAAAGCATGCTATCATAATGGAAAATTGCACATAATGATGTTAAACACTCTCAATGGCCTTCACTTAAATTTGATGATTCTATGGTCTATGTTTCATAAGTACTGATATAATTACATTAAATAACCATTTTAAAGCAAGAATAATATATTAAAAACTAGAAACAAATCATGTTAGAAGAGAGCAAACAGTTCTGCTTAACTTAACCCTTCATATTAATTTCTTCATACCGCTTATCTGAATACATAAATTAATAAATAAACATTCATTCATTGCCTATTGGTGAAGGACATTGTTATGAGATAGGTTCTGAGAGAGAGAAAAGAACACATAATATCAGATCTACATTATCCTTAATTTGAATATAATCTACATACAAACATACATATTAGATTGCATTTATAGAGCACTTTAAGACTGGCAAAGTACTTTATATATGTTCTCTTATTTGATCCTCACATCAACCCTGTCAGAAAGATGCTATTATCATGCCCATTTTACTGATGAGGAAACAGAGGCTGAGATATTAAGTGACTTGCCCAAGGTCACAAAGCTAGACCATATACAAGTATTCCTGACTCCAGGTCCAGCACTCTTTCCCCTGTGCCACCTACCTGCCTAAATTTAAAGAAAGAAAAGTTGGGTGCGGTAGCTCACACCTGTAATCTCTGATACTAGAAAGCCGTGGATCCTATGAGTTCAGAATTCTGAGGTGTAGTGAATTCAGCCAGTTAGAACTAAGTCCAGTGCCATTATGAGGAGCCCCCCAAAAAGGAATGCCACCAGCCTGCCTGAGGAACAGCAAAGCAGCCCAGGTCAGAAATGTAGCCAGACAAAGATTCCATTCCAATTAGCAATGGGATTGGCTGTGAGTGAATGCAGCACCTCCCCCCTGGGTGAAATAGGCACACATCTCAAAATATATAAATAAATAAAGATTTAAAAAATCCTTAAAATTCAAGATAGTGTATGTTACAGGATGGGGATAGTTCATAAGCAGGAGTTCAGAATTCAGAGGATTTCAGAGCACTGAGGTTTCCAGGGCTCAGGAAAAAAATTTCATTGGAAGCTACGGGACTTAAAACTGTGCTTTGAAAGAAGGGATGGATTTAGATCAGCTCAATGGAACAGCATGGACATTCCAAGTTAAAAGGATGACATAAGCAAAGTCTCAGAGGCAGGACTATACACATGGCTTGTTTAGAGGCCAGCTGAGTAGACAAGGAATGGGAAGTCTGGTCAAAGAGTAGTGATACAAGATCCTAACACACTCCAATGTTATTAGTAATAATTTCTTTTAGTCAACTGATAGCTCATTTCAACATAAAGACAGCATTTTGCAAATATTTTCTTTCCTTTCCTTTTCTTTTTTAATACTTAGTCTTCCTATCTCCCCCAGCTAGAAGCGCAGTGGCCACTTTGGGGATGATCTCATTGCTGACTATCATGCAAGCTTAAAAAAAGGAATGAAATTTAAGAATATCTCAAAGCACCAAGCAAATTATTATATAATGATGCCCCTGGTCCTTCTAATGTGAACCTGCTCTGTTTCCAAGTTCGGCCAGTTCACCCCCTCCTTAGGTAACCTAGTAGCCCCCAGCTCCCAGGGCTTCACCATATCAGTGCCAAACAACATGGACACCAGGCCAACTTAACCTTATTGCAGCTCTGGAGTAAGAGCTCCAGCAATCCACCAGCCTCATCCTCTGAGTAACAGGGATTATAGCTGTGTACCACTATTCTTGGCCAAATATTTTATTCAAGATCATTTGTAAAAGCAAAAATGAGTAAATAAAAAAATCTACCACTGCGGAAAAATGAATTTTCTGCTCAGTTTTCACTTTCGATATAAAAGTCTATCTTTCAACAAACCATCCTAATTCAATTCCTATGTATCTTCTGAAGTATGAATTATGGTATCTAGAGCCTAAGGCAGATGAAATCAACTGCAATACTCACTGTATTGTAGAGTTCTTCTAGTCGGGAGATAGTAAGAAAGCGATGCAGGTTCATTCCATATTCTATTAAGAGCTTCACAAAATCCACCCGATCCATCACTAAAGCATCCATCATGGCTTGTTCCAAAGAGTCAGGCTTCAAGGTACAGAGGAGAAAAGAAGCATCAAGAAAGAGAAATATGATACCTTTCATCTCCAGACCTCTGAGGTCTTACCCAGCTCTAACCATGACACTAAATAACTAAAAAAGAAAAAGAAAAAAAAAGTCACATGGATGAGATCTTGAAACACAGGCATCTTCATAGGGAAATATTATATATAGTTCAAAATGCAATTTAGCATTTTCCAGTCTGGCTAAAAAATCAAAATATTCTTTTTGTCTAAATGGGAATGATGCTTGTCATTTATTTCTCTTTGCACCTGCAGGAGAACTGTACGGTACAGTGGAAAACCACTGCTCTGAAGTCAGAGGGATGTAGACAGAGAATGAGCATGTGATTTCTTTGGTGTCTGTCCTTTGTTTTCAAAGAGGACCAATGACATCACAGGCAATGTCGACTTGTATATGAACTGGATTTAAGTGAAGCAGAACTGCACAAAGTCATCAGCCTCACTCTCTCTTCCAGAATCATTGAAGTCTAGTGGTAAGACAAAAGTCAATACAATTGGCAATGGCCCAGGATGCAGTGGATGACCTTGGCATCTTCAATGCCCAACCAAACTCTAAGCTCTCCACAGTGTGCTTCAGCCACCTTCATGGCCATTAGAACAAATCGTTCTCATCCTCCCATTCCACCAGAGAAAGTCTGCCTATGCTTGGTATAGACATTCCTCTATCACCAACAGGTTTGAGACTGTGGATTATCTTTAGTAAATGAAGAAACTATTTCTACCAACATAGGCCAGCACCTTCTTTGCAACTTACAGTCTGACAAGAGTCACCTCGGTGAAAATCTGGCCTCTTGAGATTTACTACCTTTTCGACCTTGGGAAATTGAGTTAACCCTGAGCCTCAGTTTCCTCATCCATAAAAGTAGGGGATTGGATTACCTAGCCACTGAGGTCTCTTCCAGCTCCAGATCTATGATCCTAATGATGACTTGAGATAAAAAAAAATTTATATAAAAATTAAGCTTTTACCAAAATGTCACATCTTTTTTTTGATTTTCTTTTTTATTCTTATAAACTTGACAAATATCAACAAACATGAACATTTCCCCCTAAAAGGAAAACCAGAAAAAGTAGACCACTTATGAAATCTTGAATCTGCACTATGTCTAACAGGGAGGAGGTGTACAGCATTTAAAATTTAACATGGTCATTCCAATTCTGTCTGGCGCTTCTGTGTCTCCTTCACAACTTCGTTCTGCTCTCTACTGTTTATTTTTAAAAATGATTTACTGACATTCTTTCCTTTCTTTTCTTCCATTTTATTTTATCATTATAACTACTCTTCCTCTCCCTCTACTCAAAGAAAATTAAAGCCTCTTCTTGTAATAAATAAGCATAGTTGCACAAAACAGATCCCAACATTGACTACGTCAGAAAAATGATGTCTCATTTTACCTCTTTAGTCTATCACCTCTCCCCAAAGCACATTTATCAGTAATATCTGGGTCATTATTGGTCATTACGCCGATCAAGGCAGAGACTTTCACAATGGTTTTCCTTTACAATGTTGTATACATTGTCTAATTTGTTCTAGGGTTCTGTTCACTTCACTCTGCATCAGTTCATATAAGTCCTCCCAAGCTTCTTTGAATCTGTCCCTTTCATCATTTATTATGACTCAATCATATCCCAGTAAATCCACACACCAAAATTTATTCAGCCATTGCCCAACCAATGGGCACCTCAACAGTCTCATAATGGCATTTTAGTAATAGAACTAAAATTTAAAATATGATCATCTGACATGTAGGATGGAAGCTTAGAATAGGAAATTGGGGCAGCTAGGTGGCACAGTGGATAGAGCACCAGCCCTGGAGTCAAGAGGACGTAGTTCAAATCCAGCCTCAGACACATAACACTTACTAGCTATGTGACCCTGGACAAGTCACTTAACCCCATTGCCTAGCCAAAAGAAAAAAAATAAAAAAGAACAGGAAATCAATTGGGCACAAATTTGGGATTGGGGTGGGTAAGACAAGAGTCAGTCAACCAGCATGTATCAAGTGCCTTCTCTATACCAGGCACTGTGCTAAGTTCTGGGGATATTTACAAAAAAAAAGAGAAGGGAAAAGCTCTATATACAGCTACCTTGCTCCCAACTGGGCTAAAAGCATAGATGCTATATGTGACTTGGAGTAAAAGAAAGAAAATATTTCTTACTATGGGGCATAATCTAAGTAAACTCTCAGACAAGGAACAGAATGTTAGAATTATTTAAGGTCATTAAGGAACAGGAGTGCTCGGTAACTCCCAAGAAAATAAGAAAGTTCCTAGATATTATTGATATAACATCACCATGGCTTCCCAGAGAAGGAAGTTTAGATTTAGAGCAATGGAAAATAGTGGGGGAGCAATTGACAGAATTTTATAACACCAAAGGCCTGAAATCAGTTCCTCTGGGTACTTTCACTATCTATAAAATCTCCCTGCAGAGAGATGTATGAGAAGTTCCTTCGAAAAATCATGAGAGAGAAGGGACTTATAGTATCACATCGTCAGATTAAAGAATTCTTAGACATCATAAGAATCACCTTGCCTTAGCTTCTCAAGGAAGGGACAATAAACATAGAAAAAAAAAGTGATTAAGGTAGAAGCCTCTTGTTCCACCACCAAAAGAGGAAAAGTTGCAGAAACACTAACCAAAACATAAATTATAAATGAAGTAGGCAATAAAGTACCTGAAGCATCAAAATCACTTCCACACTCTCCATACCCTGAGCTATAAGACAGACTCAAGCGGCATGACGAGAGGTGCCTATACCACTACAGATTGTTTTGCCTTTTATAAAAAACAAAACCTTAAGAAAGATTTTGCCTGGTTTCCATAACATCTGAAATACCATGAAAAGAAGAGATAAAATAAAACAAAAATAGTATTATTTCATTTGTGTAGGGGATTTCTGACAAGTTTCTCGCTTTTGGATTCTTCCTGTCATTTTGTTCTATGTTTGTCTGTGTCTCTGTGAATGATGGTCTGTGATTAATGTCTATAATTTGTTTGATCCTTTACTGCCAGGCAGCCAAGGGCTGCAACTGGATTCTGACATGCTGCTAGTAACTTTCTCCCCTTCTCCTTCCCTAATACCAGCCACATTCCCAGGAGCGGGTAGATGGGGGAGAGAATGGGAGAAAAAACTACCTCATTATTTAGGTTATATGATTGGTAAAAAGCAAGTCAAGAAGGATCCTCGAAGTATCAGGTCAGAATTAGAAAGATGTTAGACATGTGCAGTTTTAAAGAGACTTTAATCAAGGTCCATCAGAGGGATATTTAGGTAAAAGAAAGGCAAGAAAGTTTAAGCATGTAGGAAAGAGAGGAGTATGTGGGAAAGCTTAAGGAAGGTATAATTTGTTTGCACGACCAGTGTGAAGAAAGGGTTTGGGGGGTAAAAGATTGGGAAACTATTGGAGAACTGAGAGAAAAAAAACAACAAAATTCTCTTTCGTTTTTGCATTCCAGGGCTCGGGCCAAAGCTTTGGATGTAAGATTGAAAGATTATCAAACACAAGTTGTTGAAAGATATTCTCTTCCTTTCTCCTGCATTCCAACCCTGGCCAGGTTGGGGTGGGGGAGAAAGAACAAGAAGAAAAGGAGGGTCCTCCAGGAAGGAAGGTGAGTTTTCCTCCTCAGATCAAAAGAAAAGTTTTTAACTATAGGAACACAATCTAAAGATAATTTAGTTTATTCATATTAGTAATATGCATGTTTCAAGTTTTAAAAATCTAGTCTTATTACAAATTGATACACTTTTATGTGTTATATCAAGCAATTTTTAATAATTTAGATGTTATTAAAATGTGAACTAAAAGAAACTGAAAGGTAGTGAGATAACTGTGTAAATCCAGATAAATTATTTTATCAAGTCCAGTTAACCTTGTTCTATGATGTTTTATAACTGTCATTCAGAAAATCAGGTATTTCTGTCTTTACCTATGATTAAAGAACAACTTATAGCTAAAACAATTTAACTATCACTCATGAAAATTACCAAATTGTTAACTAAGGTATTTGAGGTTACTGTTTTAAGTTAAGACCTAGACTTCTTAATTACTTCTGAGTGAAAAGGAGGGGCATAAGGCAATTCCCTTAACTTTGTAAGCTTGCCAAAAGCTCCTACCAGCTGTGTGCCAAGGTCATCTGCTCTGAGGAGAATTTGTTTATGTTACTGAGTTCCTAAACAATTAATTTAGCTTGCTGAAAAGTTGCAACTTTATCAAGTGATTCCTAATAATTGGCTTTTAAACAAGACGAGTTTAAATTCAAGAAAAAATTGATGCTAGGCGCAATCTCTTTAAAATATATATATATATATATATGAATATATATGAGTCCTGGTAAATCTTTACTACTTATTACAACTCCATGATAATAAAATTGACTGTATCTGGCTTTAAGCCATGATTAGTGAAACTTACTGCTTGAGGTAAAAGACTCTTAGGACTGTAATTCACTTTGTTTTGAGTTTGAATTTGGATATGTTTGTCTCATTAAATCAGTATTTCCCATTTTCCCTATCATGATCCTTTAAGGAGGAATGTTTCTTACCATGTGCCAAAATTTTGTTCATGACACTATTAAACTTGTTAGTCAGAAATATTCCCAGACAAAAATACTTTATTATATGGATGATAAACTTTGCAGTTGTCCTACTACTACCAAACTCTCCTTATTAACGCCTAAGTTTTACCAAGCCTTTCAGTCTCATAGATTTATAATTACTCTGAAAAGGTACAAAAGGTATCACCCTTTGCTTGCTTTAGGTATATTCTACAGACTACAAGTAGACTAACAAAATGTTACGGATATTAATTATTTTTAGCTTGCCTATTAAATCACCAGTAATCAATTATTTTAAGATGAATTTAAACTACTAGGATAACAGATAGCTAAAACTCAATTCATTTCCCCTTAATTTGTGGGCATGATATTTTACATTTACTGAGAGCTGTTATTTTCTCCCACCC